AGAAGCGAAGAGAGAAGCGAAGAGAGAAGCTTCAGTTGCCATAGTGACGGAGTTTGCCATAGCGACGGAGGTACGCACGCATGTGTCGTTCACGTGCGTGCGTCCCTCCGCTGTGCTGTAAACAAACGCAACGACAGACCAATCGCAGGTCGAGATGAAGTGTTCGCGCGCGTTGCATGCCAGTCGCAGGGCAGCTGCTTCTATCCGCAAACATGGCGTCGGTTGTGATCGTCGACGTAGACGGTGTGGTGGAAGCTCATCGTTCCGTGTAAAAGCGCTATCTTTGACAGTGAATTTTCGTTGTGTATCGCTATGATAACCCAGCACGTACTAGAAGGGAAGATCCACCTACTCGTGCGGCGATGACTTGGCGGCAATGTCAAGTTGGCAGAAACGCCCTTGTTGTCGTGTTTGTTTACTTCGACTACAGTGGTGATTTCTAAGCTTTTGTGTTTTCGAACATCGCCCGGATTTTTTATTTGGAGCATTTCATGCCTGTGCACAAGCTGATGGTATTACTCGATAGACAACCGAAAATAATATATTTTCGGTTGTCTATCGACCACCTCATGGAAACTTTCGCGAATTTTGGGAGATATTTGAACGTGAAACGTTTTTATTTAGTTCTGAAAATTATTTGTCCATCATAGCTGGCGATTTTAATATTGATATGGGTACGAATAGCCCAATGCAACAGCAAATGTTACTCACACTTCATTCAACAGGTTTTCAAAATGTTATTAACAGTCCAACGCGCATTACAGCTTCTTCTGCTTCCACTTTAGACTTAATTATTACTAATAATGACAACGCATTCTTTTCCGGTCGCATCGCTGCCGATATTAGCGATCACTTACCTGTTTTCTTGCGTATAGAAAAAGCAACTTGTTCGAACGATGTCGCTAAATTGAGACGCCAGCTAATATCTCAAGAAAGGCTCGACCTATTTAAGTACCGTATTTCCTTGGTGGATTGGAGCCCTATTTATAATGAGCCAGCTGCAGATGATGCTTTTAACAGGTTTCTAGAGCTCTTCACATCAGTATATAATGAATGTTTTCCCACTGTAGAAATAAAACCATGCAAAAGTGCGCGTAAACCATGGATGACTAGACGTTTAATTAGACTCGTTAAAAAGAAATACAAATTATTTGCAATATTTATTAAAAACAAAAATCCTACCGTGCTCGCAGAATATAAGTCCTTACGCAACCGACTAAACAGGGAAATTAAATTGGCGAGAAACATGTATTATAATAATTTCTTTGGTCGCCAGACTTCTAGCAATCTTAAGGAAAAATGGAGGCGTCTAAATTTGCTCCTGAATAGACATACTAATACCCAAGCGATCACAAGCTTAACGGTTAATGGAACTGAGCTATCGGGTTCAGATCTCGCTGCATCATTCAATTACTTTTTTTCGACTGTAGGTGACAGTCACTATAATTCCGGCATTTTTGATTTTCTAAGTGATAGGTTAACAGAATCAATATTTTTTGAACCGACTGACGAGCTTGAGGTTTTTTCAATTTTCAAAAGTCTGAAAGATACGAATAGCCTCGACTCTCATAATATACAAAGTCGCCCAGTAAAATATGTTTTACAAATAATTACACCATGTCTAACACATATTTATAATGTAGCGCTTATGACGGGACACTTTCCAACAGCTATGCAGCTAGCCAGAGTAGCCGTAATTTATAAAAAAGGAAATAAGAACGACTTCGGTAACTATAGACCAATATCTATACTTCCGTTTTTTTCTAAAGGGTTAGAACGAATAATTCATCGCCGCCTCAATCATTTCTTCTTAAAGCATTCTGTAATATCCGATTGCCAATATGGGTTTACTAAAAATAGATCAACGGAACACGCCTTGCTTGCCCAAAAAGAATATATTTTGAACAATTTTGAATCACAACGTCTTACTCTTGGCATTTTTATTGACTTTAGTAAGGCATTCGATACTGTAAATCATAAAATACTTATCGCTAAGCTCGAGCATTACGGCGTACGAGGACACGCCCTCAACCTTATAAAATCATATTTAAGCTCACGATTACAATATGTTGTAATAAACCACTCTCGCTCCGATTCCCTTCAAATTTTTAATGGTGTCCCTCAGGGTAGCATCCTTGGACCACTCTTGTTTAATATATATATAAATGACATTTCCAATATTAGTACCCTTGCAAAGTACGTTATTTACGCTGATGATACGAGCCTTTTCTTTTCCTCCTCTGACGTTGAACAACTAACTGGCACTGCTAACCGAGTATTGGCATTATTATCACGGTGGTCATTAGTCAACTCATTGAAAATCAACAAAGAAAAAACTAAAGCTGTAATATTTCGTCCTAAAGGAAAGCTTGTAATGCACCCACCGCCTTTAGTTTTGAGTGACACCATTATCGAGTATGTAGAAACGTTTAGATCCCTCGGTGTAAGTTTTACCGCAACGATGACATGGGACGCCCACATAAACGAGGTTTGTCTTGCCCTTTCTAAGGTTGTAGGAATAACCTCGCGTAATAAGTACGTTCTACCTGAAAAAACTAAACTTACTTTGTATTACGCTTTCTTTTATTCATATTTAAGCTATTGTTTTCTTGTCTGGGGTAATACCACAACATCCAATATTCAGAAGCTTCTGATCTTGCAAAAGAAAATGCTACGTGCTATTACAAAAGCTCCATATAATTCCCCAACCGGGCAGGCTTACTCGCAGTTTAAAATTGTGCCTGTATATAATTTATTTGAATATAGATTCGCGTGTTTTTACAAAAATAGTATAGCTAAAAACGATAATTTTCTTTCACGTATTGTTTCTACTGTGCCCCACAATACGCCTTATGCAACCAGGGAAAAAGACAGCTTTGTTTTACCTAGATGTAGAACGAACTATGGCTTTACAATGTTGCGATATATCTTGCCTAAGTTTTTGAATACTCCTCTATGTGATCACTTGAATGGTATGTCTTCTTCTGTCCTTAGGAACGCTTTTCTATAATTTGTCTGTACTTCTCATTTTTGTCTGTATTGTTCATTTTGTATATATATATTATTTTTTACCGCGTTTACACTGCTGACTTGTAAGGGTGGCGAGGCCCGTCAAGCAGTGGACGACACTGCTTTTTTCTTGCCACCCTCAGTTTGTATTTCAAGCTGAAATAAACGCTGATTGATTGATTGTACCGTAGAAGGGATTCGAATTTTCACGCGTTTTTATCGCCGGAGAAGAGTGATTAGGGTTAGCGATCCTGAACGCTCGCAAGGTTCGTCCGCAGCCCGCGACGCCGTTTAAAGGCTGCGCCAGGCATAATAATGACGTGCACCCAAATGGAAAAAAAGGGCTAGCGTAGCGTCACCTAGCGGTAGGACTTGGGAGCGTTCAAGTAGCACTGCCAAACCAAGCCAATCCATTTGCAGCCAACACAAAAGTCAAAATGGCCGCTCCTTGATGGTGTTTTCCGCTGATAGCTCGAGATGATTTTGTCCAAACAATCGAACTTTATGACTTCAAGCTGTCCAAAACATTGGTCGTGAATATACACTATTTTAATGGGGTAAGTCACGGTTCCGCCTTTAGGTCCGAAATATCGAATAAGTCTGAAATATCGGAGTCCGAAAAAATGGTCGGCGACTGTACCGAGAAATGTTAAGCTTGTTTTATACCAGACTTGATTTGTTTCTCACCCGAATTATTGTTATTTAGTTTGGGGCACAACCACCCGCACGAATCTAAAAACAAATACTCCTATTGCAAAAAACAAAAATGTGTTCCTCATGGAGGATGCTTCTAACGACTCTAGCACCCAGGATCTGTTCAGAAAGAACAGTGTAGTTCCTGTTTACAACATGTACAAGTATAGACTCACTATCAGTTTTAGAAAATCAAAGAAATGGGGATAGCTTAGTAAACCTTGTGGAGCTAAAAGAACGTGCAAATCGGTCGTCAGAACGTTGGACTGTGCCACTGTGTCACAACAGCTATTCAATGCAATCACTCAAATAGAAACTTCCTACTATATTGAACATACTAATGAAAAAATGACATTGATAGTATTTCTATTGCAATTCAGGAATTACAAACGGGCCTAGTGTGGCGCGAATACGAATGAATCGATTTATGAGACCTGTTTGATTTTTGTATTTTACTTTGTTGTGTCGGCTTTCTCAATTTGTTTTTTGCTGTTACTTCGTTTTGGCTAGTGTGTATGCCACTTCAAAGCAGCAAAGGGCTCCGTCAGGCAATTCTTGCAGCTTTTTTCCCTCGTTGCCTTCATTTATGTGTCGAAATGGGAAATGATGTTCCTTCATAATAATAAAAAATAATGAATGCAGTACTGTCTACTCCCTTAGTTTGTCTGCGGTGTACTGGCGTGAACGGCCACGTTTTGCTACTAGCAAGGTTGCGGCCGCCGCCGATATACGTGCTTCAGGCTTTGCACTGTTCCTCGGCGCGGAAGAAGGAGCCGCTGCGCAGACGGAGCGGCAATTTCCCGCCCCAATTCCACCATGCGCAAGCGCCACCCTCTTCCTTTTATTAGAGTGCGGGCCGCAGCGTAAGGAGAGGGCTTGTTTGTGCGGTGGCGTTCCTTGGAACTAGGACGCGTCACAGCCATTTTGTGTGCCGTTTGAGGGAGGGAATCGGGGAGCCGTTTTTGGCGGTTACAGACAATGCCGGGTGCACTCCATGGGACAGGTAATGCTTAAAAAAAATAAGAGTAAGCTTTGTTTTACGCTGGTCAAATACGTCCCCAATGATACTTTTGTCGTTGAGGGAGCCATCTGCTGGCCTTTTACCAACACCAAAGACTACACCGACGAAGAAACGTGCGGATGAATGGGAAAAAAATGGCAGAAGGTGTCGCGCCTGCAGTTGGCTCATGGACGTGGTAGTTGGTCAAGTGACGGAAGTGACAATCTATACGAGGCCAATAAAAGGCCAAAGACTCGTTGAGGGCATTGTAGTTTGACTGTGTGTCGGGGCTGTGCAGGACCAAGCTGCTGGACTCGGAGGAGGTGTGTGGCCAGCTGAGGAAGCAGCTGCAGCGGTCGCAGGCCCGCCTGTTGCCGAGCCCCACGACGGTGGCCGTGAGCGGGGTCTACGACGTGGGCGCAGAGGAGGCGAGCGTGGACGACGTGCTCGCCCAAGCCAAGAGGGACGTGGAGTGCCTCACGCGCAAGACCAAGCACCTATCCAGGGCACAGAGGTACCCTTTCCTCTCTAAGGGCAGGGCTTTTCCAGTAGCTTGGTAGGGCCCCTCGTTAGTGCCTGGTTGAGCGGGACTGATGCTGAGGAAACAGCTTCAACTCGCGGGACAAGACTGTGAACAATTCTTTAGTCGTGAAACATTCTTTGGCTAGGAGTGAATCAGCACCGATTGTTTGACGGGTGGGGGAGGATGGGACCAGAGGGGCAGGCGAGGAGGAGCTCAACCACCTGGGAATTATGGAAGGCCCTGGAAGATGGCTTCATTCTAGGAACGACTATGCATAAACTGCCTGATAAAGAGCGCCGTGAACATGTGCAATGCTGGAAACTTGCACATAACAATTGCCATATTCATTTTCCTTGTCCCTCAGTCTTCTTGTGTTGGCGAGATTTAATAACTGGATACATTTTACGTACAGATTGATTACAACGAGGAATATATAGCGGAAGAAGAAGCGAGACACAAAAATGAAAAAAATTGGCAGGGTCTCTTAGGTGATACCTCAGATGACTTGGAGGCTAAAGTCAAGCGCCGATGTGAACGTGATAGCGAAGCTCCGAAGGCCTCTTTTTGCTGACCCACTTTTGGCGCCGTTTCATTGGTACCTTTCGTCTCGCCGACAAGGACTCTAAAGGTCAACTGAACTATGTCCTCTCCGTCTTGCGATGTTTGTCGTCTTGTCTGGTTTGCCGCATGCGCTTGACGTTTTGTCCACGATATTCACGGGTGGCGTTTGCCGCTGACATTCTCAGTGCCGTTCCTGCCGTTGCCCTTTGTAGGCGCGTTGCTCTTGGGGAGTGTGTACTACCGTAACATGTGGAGCCCCCACTTAAGTAAGTGCCCCCCACATCTTCCGGGAATTTCCCATTTCTGTAAACGACGGCGCAAGTGCCCCGCCCGTCTCCAAGGCATTATTCTTTTAGTCTTGTTTCAGGCTTTTTGACTGTCGCAGTGTACAAAGCCAATATTGAATCCAACCCAAAAAGTTGCTACGCGAATGCACCACCAGCCATCGTCGCCATTTCCTTAGCTGGGAGTGGTTGTCTTCGTTCGCCAAGCATCCGTATACGGTTCAAAAGAAACTCAAAGTTGTGAATTGGCATCGGAAGAACACCTCGCCATTTCAAGTTGGACCGTAAGAGGGCACGCGAGAGGGACACCAAGTACAGAGTTTCGCTGCAACACAATTTCGGGAAGTTGAAGTACGACGCCAATTGAGCAACGGTGCCTCCGTCTTCAGTGAAGTTGACGATACCCTGTACGAGTTCTTGGAGAGTGAAAGCAACTCTGGACATGTGGCGAGGAGGGAGATCTTGACGAACGGCTGTCTGACGTCGGCGCCCCTGTCCCCGAGAACCCCGACGAGCTGCAAACCGAGGGCCTCCTCTTTAGATCCCATTCTGGGGAATCGTGCTTTGATGGCGGCGGAGCTGAATGCCAGGATTTCCGTTTTCCGGGTTGAACATTGACTGAAGTGTTGGTAAATCAGTGTTTTCAACAGTGCTTTTCTTTTCACTTGTACTGGCCGCTATTTTGTGGCCGCCATATTGAATTTTTGGCCCAATCTGAATAAGGGCCCCCTGTATATCTAGTCGAATTACCTCCAAATTTTGGGGGGCCGCTTGCTTGGGATTTTACAGTATACGCTGCTTCCCCATTACGACCAGAGAAGAGGAATTGACTTGCTGCTGAATTACCCGAGCATCATCGAGAATGCAGGGAAGAGTGTTCCACACGCCGCATCTGACGGCGTCTGCAGCAGTAACATTTCTAAAGCAAAAGCCTAAAACAAATGGCATCTTGCACTCACGTTTGTCAATGGTTTATTCTGGTTATTTACTTTGAATTTCTTATACGGGGAAAGCGTTTGCGTCGGTGCATGATGTGGTGCGAGCGTAGTTTTAGTCACTGCACACGAAAAATCTACGAAACCCTAGCCGTAAACAGCTTCGCTGTAAAAAAAAGTTTCGAGGACACCTAAGCACTTCTTAGAGTTTGGAATCCGAAAGCATGAGTGTCATTCTTCCGCTCCCTTAGTTCGTCTGCAACATACTGGCGTGGACGCCTATAGTTTACTACTGCCGAGGGAGTGGCCGCCGCCGACATTCGCGACTTCAGCGAATCATTGGGGGCGCGCTGGTCAGGCAAAATGGTAAATGAAAGCAGGTCATTTTCGTCGTTCAGCGCGTGGACCACCATAAATTTCTTGCACTGCAGCGTAAAATGTGTGTTGCACCTGAAAGCAAAGCGATTTTTCGACGGTAGAACGCTTGTTGTAGTCAGTGCGTAGGAATGACTAGGCGGAAGCATAAAAATAAATGCTGGAAACAATGTTTGTTTCTATGCTACCTACAAGAGCCAAGCAGCGATAGCAGACGACAGAGTCGAAACGACCTCGTATCCTGAGCATCTCGACGTACGCGACATCGGTTTCGCTGGAGTTGCCAATAGGTGCCTCAGGCGCTGCCATGTTTTTAGGTGCCAAAAGCAGCAGAAGCGGCCCCCCTTTGGCAGCGCCTGACACGAAAGCGGGGCCAGACTCTCCAATAAGCTCCCGTGCGGGCCACAGCGCCAGGAAGGTCTTTCGAGGGTGGCATTTACAGGATTTTACAGTATACGCTGCTTCCCCATTACGACCAGAGAAGAGGAATTGACTTGCTGCTGAATTACTCGAGCATCATCGAGAATGCAGGGAAGAGTGTTCCACACGCCGCATCTGACGGCGTCTGCAGCAGTAACATATTTAAAGCAAAAGCCTAAAACAAATGGCATCTTGCACTCACGTTTGTCAATGGTTTATTCTGGTTATTTACTTTGAATTTCTTATACGGGGAAAGCGTTTGCGTCGGTGCATGATGTGGTGCGAGCGTAGTTTTAGTCACTGCACACGAAAAATCTACGAAACCCTAGCCGTAAACAGCTTCGCTGTAAAAAAAAGTTTCGAGGACACCTAAGCACTTCTTAGAGTTTGGAATGCGAAAGCATGAGTGTCATTCTTCCGCTCCCTTAGTTCGTCTGCAACATACTGGCGTGGACGCCTATAGTTTACTACTGCCGAGGGTGTGGCCGCCGCCGACATTCGCGACTTCAGCGAATCATTGGGGGCGCGCTGGTCAGGCAAAATGGTAAATGAAAGCAGGTCATTTTCGTCGTTCAGCGCGTGGACCACCATAAATTTCTTGCACTGCAGCGTAAAATGTGTGTTGCACCTGAAAGCAAAGCGATTTTTCGACGGTAGAACGCTTGTTGTAGTCAGTGCGTAGGAATGACTAGGCGGAAGCATAAAAATAAATGCTGGAAACAATGTTTGTTTCTATGCTACCTACAAGAGCCAAGCAGCGATAGCAGACGACAGAGTCGAAACGACCTCGTATCCTGAGCATCTCGACGTACGCGACATCGGTTTCGCTGGAGTTGCCAATAGGTGCCTCAGGCGCTGCCATGTTTTTAGGTGCCGAAAGCAGCAGAAGCGGCCCCCCTTTGGCAGCGCCTGACACGAAAGCGGGGGCAGACTCTCCAATAAGCTCCCGTGCGGGCCACAGCGCCAGGAAGGTCTTTCGAGGGTGGCATTCCGTCAAACTATGACACGGACAATGGCTATCTAGGAGCCATTTTGCAGGAAATTTCTTCTACGTTTCTTGCCTCTCAACCATAGGCCAGTATCTTTCCAGAGATTGTCTCCCCCCCCAAAAAAACTTCACGATCTGATTTACCAAATTCCTCATGCTGAATGCAACGCCTCGTATGTTGTGGAAACAAAGAACTTTCCCGAACGTCTGCCCACACATAAGTATGACGCGAAGAAAGACATTCAGGGCAGTTTGCTGGCGTAACGTGCTCAGGATGCCTTCGTTGACCGTGTAAAATGCACCGGTTCAGATAAAAACGGAGTACAAGTTTTTTAAGCTCTCTTTCAGGCAACATATCAAAACGTTAAGACTAAAACGCCATAGATCCCTCAATATTTTGAGAGTTATCTCCCACACGACTCGGGGTTCCTGTCGTTTGTGCCTGTTAAGAATCTATGGGTACATTGCGTGGTCTCGTCTAGATTATGCATGTTTGGTGTATGGATGAGCGAGTGCATCAACAGTGAAAATGTTGGATCAATCCATTGCGCAGGGATCCTACTTGTCACCGGTGCATTTCATACATCCCCTGGGTTGAGTCTCTATTCTGAAGCTGAAGAAATGTTCCTAGAGAAAAGGCGAGCTGTCTTGGGTCTAACGTATTCCCTCAGGATACGGTCAGTATCGCAACATCAGTGTCGGGAACTAGCTGAGGGAACAGATTTTGAACTAACCTTCCAAAGTAAGCCCTTTTCACTGCTGTCTCGGCTAGCCTTCGGACAAACCCGCCTGTTGCTCAGTTTGTGGGAAGTGTGGCACCATGGGAGCATAGTCTGCTCATCACAGACTTGTCACTCACTGGGTACACTAAGGAAAATACCCCCCAAGAAGTCTTAAAACAGGAATTCTTTCAGCTACCAAATGCACATAAAGACTACACCAGCTTTTATACTGACGGCACAGAAACCGACTCCTCTGTCGGCTGTTCCGGGATGGGATCATCACTTAAATGTGTGCGGAGGATTAATTCCAGTGCAATTACCTCGACTGCCGAGTTTTATGGTTCACTACTGGCCACGGAAGATATTATCAAAAATAGGCATACATACTCTGTAGTTTACGCTGATTCACTAAGTGCTCTGAGAGCAATCAGATCCCTTGAGATAGCAAAAAACCCTCTAATCACTCAGCTACATCATAAAGTGGTTGCTGCAGCTGTGGAAAACAAATTGCGTCTTTTGCTGGCTATCACGTGGGTATACCTGTCAGTGAAGCTGCTGATTATGCCGCATGCGCTACAAGGAATGTTGATATCCAAGACTACAAAGCGACCGCAAGGAAAAGCGTCTGGTGTAAATGGCAAGAGGAATGTTGTCGGGAAGCAGATGCTAGAGGTGTTGGCTCGTCACAGGGACCGTTTTTTCCAGGTCCCCCTTCGACGTGTTTTACTCGGCAACTCTACACCCTGCTCTTCTGCTTGGAGATGAACCTTTTCTACATGTTTTTAAATTCCTAGAAAGTGCTGGACTTTTGCGCTCACGTTAAACTAACTTCGCAACTTTCAAATTTTTCATCTACATTATTCATACACAGATCCATGTCCATCATTTTGTTCTATCACTAGCCACTAGAGTGCTCTTTCTTCTCTAAAAACTGTTTCTTGAAATAGTTGCAGATTTTGCCGCTCTTTAACCTTGGATGCATTTGCGCCAATAAGACTCCATCGATCGATGAATTGCTCGAAAGCGATTGTAGTGTTGCATCGACTTGCACTCATTCCCGCTACTTCCGACATCCATCTGTACCAAAGCAGCAAAGGTGTCTAGTGCTCCCGGGCTTTCGAAGAAGCAATTTGAGTGGACGGGATCGTGGGCACAAAGCCCCATGAAGCGAAAGGGCTTTGCTCTTCGGCAGCATACTTCCATTTGCCGGAAACCGCCCATAACGACAGTCACAGTGTTAAATTTGAGAAACACAAGTGCTGCAAGAATGAGCAAACATTCCCGCCAGGCACGAAGGAGAAAAAATATGACTGCATTAGGCACTCATAGTTGCCAGAGATCTTGGTTTTCCCTTTAGTAACCGGTAATATAGGATAAAAACCAAATCTCCATTTTGAAAAAAAGAAAAAAAAGCGGCGCATATAAATGGAATTGTACGCTTGTGCATTGTGTGGGTTTTTATGTACTAAAGATGTTGTTGCGACAATTGCCAGAGTATTCTGTAAGACGTATGCAGAGGTGTGGATGTTATTCTAAAACTTGAATGTTTTGAGGCAGGCAAAATGTTGTTTGGTTGTCCCCACAGAGAGGAAGAGGAAAGGGAGAAGAAGTCTGATGCGGACGAGGGCACGGCCGAGGCCAGCGGCAACGACGAGAGCTCCGAGTCCGAAGTGGAGGCCGACGAGGACGGTGAGGAGCCTTTGGATGCGGGGGGCCAATGGCTGGACAAATGCAGATGCTCTTGGCCGTGCGAGGGGAGCGCGCTAGGAGCTCTGCCGCCAAACAAAATGCGGGCAAACTATGGGGTGCCTCAAATAGCGGCCAGGCTCTTTAGATCGCCGCGTGATTCAGTATCTCAATCTATCGCGCTACAATTTTGTGCAGCGTTGCCCACAGATGGTAAATTTTTTTTTGGAAAATTTGCAAACAGAACTTGCCTGAGGAAAAAGTAAAGAAAGAAAAAGGCTAAACTCCTATGCAAATGCAGCGATGCCACCGGTCTTCAAACAATACGGCGTCGTTTTGCACGGGAGGCGAGAGATGGTGCGAGCGGTCGTGACGCCAACTGCTGCTAACGAATGAGCATACACTCTAAGAAAAAATGGAGGAAAAAAGTAGCAACGCCGCGCCTTCCTCCCTTCTACCGACGCGCCCCCAAGCGGACACGAGAAAAGGGGAGGAACGAAATGTTTTTCTCCTTCTCCAGGCAGACGGGAGAAAGCTTTCGCCCTCCCGACTCATCGTCTTTCGGTTTCGTTTTTCGAGCAGGTCGCGCACGTTGTTTAATAAATAGCTGTTGAGTTGATTGAGCTTCAGCAGCAGCGAAGGCCGCCTGTAATTCCGTCTTCCAGTTTAAACGTCCAGAACATTTCGGTTGCATTGACATTTTTATCACTAATTTTATCAAACGAGCAAACGAAGCCGCTAGAAACAGCGAAGTTCCGGAGCAGTGCCAGCAGCGCCACGTACACTGGGGGATGGCCGTCTCCGGATTACGTGACTCGCGCGGCACGGAACTATAGCCACTGCAGGCTGCAGCACTACAGACTACAGTAGCGAAAGCACGCGGAACTGTGTCGACGTTTTCGACGTTATGGAAACCGCAGGAACTGCGTCCAAGACAGGCAGGTTTTGCTGCCGGCTGCCTGGGTGCCTTCCCCCCTGAGTTCAGTTCTGTTTTCCGATGCCGAGTGCAACCGGCGTTCAACGTGGTTTTGTGTTTGTGCGTGTCAGCAACATAGCTGCAACATCGTGATGACAGTTTTGGGTTGTGAACAGAAGACTGGAATTATCGCCGATGTGACCATGTGTTCGCGTATCAGTGGTGTAACAAGAAGATGAGATCGTAAACTGTTAGGCATTGATGCCGCTGGTCGGGTTGTGATCGGAGGGGGCGGGGTGTCGCAAGTTGACATTCCGCTTTACATTAAAAAGTTTAATACCACTTGAGGGATTACGTGCAATCGATCAACGTGCGGATAGTCATGTTGGAACGCTGGTCTGAACAGTAGAAGCTCCTATCGTACAGTGGCCAATGTGACTGTCGGAATGGTCTCGTCCCCGACAGCGATTGCGTTCTGGGGCAAGGACTGAACAGTACGAAATCGTGACGTGAAGTACGTATATTTACAGTATGGAATTTCGGCATTAAAAACAATAGTAGGTAAAATCGAACAAAAAAAGCTACCCTTTATTTCGCTGTTTCATTATACTACGGTTGCTGGAGAAACTACCCTCCGTGGCGCGCTGGGATGAGCGCTAGAAGTTTTCGGGCTCGCCACGGCGTAGTTCCGTACACTTAAACCTGCCGCAAGTCGCGGCTTTGACTGCATTCAAGTTGATCGAAAAGCAATTTCTCAGTCCGTGAAGCATCACTTCCAGCTGACTGAATATCCGCTCTACAGAGATTAATTCAAACGGCAATTGCAGCTTTGCGCGAACAGCACAAATAGAAAAACAAATAGAAATACAAGCTACGACGTGCCGTGTGGGGAAACAAACTCATGGCTTCGAACCGCATTGGAGCGGCTTGATTTATTGGCTTTCAAATAATTACGGCATGATTGAGCGTTTAATTTTTAATAAGAGATTCAACCCCTGAGCCATTCAAAATACTTTCAGAGGTATGACATTGCAGGGAAAAAATCAACATGCTGGGAATATTTGTTATTGCTTAGGGAGTCACCGAAAAGTTCCGCACGTTCAAAACGACCAGTATAAAAGACGGAAACGCAGAGCACGGGTGTAGTGTTCGGGTTAGTGTGGTGTTCCGTTGTATTGATATTTGTGTGTGCAGTGCATGTGCTTAATGTATGTTCACCTGATGCTTGTAATAAGTGTATGGGTGTCATGTGTGTATCGTGTGTATAGTAGAGGGTCCTCAAGCGCAGTAGTGGCCTAAGAGAAACAAATAATTTTTTGTAGAACATGAATTGGGCGGTACTTAGCGCCACCTAGCCTAGCTACTTGCAATTACTCTGCTTGACCCCGCCATCTGGTGGCTAGCGATTTCACCTTCTTTCACGCTACGCCGCTACGCTGGCTACGCGATAAACAGCGGCTTCGAGTTCGTTCTTCCGAGAGCGGCTTTTGGTTTCGCGGAGTGAGTTTGCCCTTCTCCGTGATGTGCGGTTGACGAAGGAATTGTGACTCGAGGAACACCAAAGGTAAGACGCAAAGTGCGCGAAGTAACTGGGTATCGGTTGTCTCCGTTTAACATCGCAGTGCTGTCGACGAGAAGACTGAGTAACTGCTTTGGAAACGCAGGTTTCTGTACCTGTGGGGGGAATCTGGCTTCGGAAATAAACACAGTTTGCGGAAAGCTCGTGTTACGCTTTCATTTGCTGCTGCTCTCGTCCCGTACAAGAGACGTAGCGTCCTCGTTAAGCCTTATTGGGCTCGATTTGCTCGATTCGGGGCCGCCATATTGAGATGCAAGCGACGGAGGAACTTTGCTTCCCTGCTTCAGGGACGAAGGTTTCTCCCTTTCTAAAGGAACATAGGTTACAAGACCGTTCCTCCCGTAAGGGAGGACTATACGTACCCTTTTTTCTAAGAGTGTACGGCGCCGTGAGCCGGCGTCATTAGCAGACAATATTTTCGACTCAAAAGCGGTGAAAGCTTTTTTAATATCAGTTGCCAATGCATTATTCTATCACCCTTACTATTAAAACGCATCGAATGGACACATGGTTGATTAAAGAAATAATTTGTCAAAATATTTTGACTGTTTCATTTTTTTTTTTTTTTTTGGGGGGGGGGGGGGTCTTATGTCGTCTGCTTTGCAGTTCCTTGTTACCACGCCTGCTTTTGGTTCTGCGACTGTCGCCGCTGCGGAACGCGTGCCGCTTTTGAGTCCAAAACATTGTCTGCTGATGACGCCAGCTGTTGTCGCCGTATGCTCGTTCGTTGGCGGCTGTTGGTGTCGTGACAGCTTGTGCCATCTCTTGTCTCCCGTGAGTTTCCATAGGAGCTAAGCCTTTTTCTTTCTTTACTATTTACTCAGGTAAGTTCGCTCTTTGCAAATTTTACAAAAAAATAATTCACCATCCGTGAGCAACGCTGCACAAAGTCGTAACGCGATAGGCTAAGAAACCGAATTTTGTGGTTCATTTAAAGAGCCTGGCCACTATTTGGGAGTCACGGCGTTTTTTGTTACGGAATTGTATATCTCTCGCAACTGCCTGCTTCTCCGAGGATTGTGACCCTCTCCCATACAGTCGGGAGAGGAGGAGGACGAGCAGAAGCAGAAGTTGAATTCGCTGTTGGAGTCTTTCGTTGGAGTAACGCTGTAACCTGCTCCGTAACGAATATTTATTTATAAAGGTGTTTCGTGGGAGTGCGCGCCCTTATCCTATTTGGAACGGACACGGACCTTGCACTCCGAGGTTGCTTTTTTGAGCGGCCCTGCTGGGCCTCGATTTATTCGGAACTGTAACTCGGTAGTTTTCACGTTCGTCGAATACCAAGCTGATTTTTTAGGTCTCGGTGTTTGCAGAGAAGTTAAAGATTTGCCATTCCAAGACACTCAAGGCACGTACCAAAACGCGGCCAAAAGGCAAAAATATTGCGTGTCAGCAAAAACTAAGATATAGTTTACATCGCTCGCTCATACAGGTGTAAAAAAAAAGGTGAGTTGGGAGGGAGCCAACCATTGGAAGGGGGTGTGCCTTGCAGAGAGGTACAGCCAGGACCTGGTGAACCTGACGATGGAGATCTCGTGCAAGCAGAAGTTGATAAAGCAGCTGGAGCAGAGCCAACGGCGGCTGCACACCACGCGCATCCACTACGAGGAGAAGCTGGTGCAGCTCCAGGCCCGCATACGGGAGACAGAGCTCGAGAGGGACCGCATCCTCTCCAGCGTGGGTGGGTTTTGCAAAGAGGAGGAGCTTTGGGCCAGTTGTCTAGCGGAGACGGTTGCAGGCAGCGCTGGGCCCTCGAAGGACTGGGAGGAGAAGGTGCGCAAGATCCGGGGGGACTTTGAGCGCCGGCTGGGCCAGCTGCAGGGGGAGCTGAAGAAGATGCAGGCGGCCAGGCGGGAGCACGCCCAGCTCATTAAGAACCAGGCCGAGTACGAGCGCCAGGTGCGCAAGCTCAAGCAGGAGGTGGCCGACATGAAGAAGACCAAGGTGCGTCCATCCGGGCATTAGTTCCGTTTCTCTATTACCTCACAGTTACCGTATTATGCGAGGGAAGGTTTTCATGCCCTCGAAAAGAAAAAAAAAAGTCGAGGCTGATTATAGTTATTGCACTCGGGGGCACGGCTAGAAGAGAAAAGGGAAGAAATATCAGTTCACGTTTTGACTGCACTCATCCGAACTGCTCAGGTTCTTCTCACTGTGGCAATCCACTTGGCGGCAGATGTGCACTACTCTTTTTGGGGCGCGAGCTCCTCCGCTGCCCATAAGCAAAGCGACGCGCAAAGTACACTCAAACACCTGACCACTTTGAAGCAGAAACTAAAAAATGCCCGATGCAGGATCATTGTTGTTCTGGTCCCTCTGCATAAAAAAAACTGAGTTGCAAGCTTTCGTGAACACGGTGCATGGTTTTGGCTTGGCTTGCATTGACTTGACTTGGCCAGGCTTGGCATGGCTTGAATTGGTTAACGCCCACGTGGTTCACTAGCTGCCTTTCTGCGCCGTGCTTTTCGGCGTATGTTGTAGAAGCATACGTTTGTGACCCAACGCTTGGTGAAGGCGTCTGTTACGATGGGGAAGAAATGGAAAGCACCGGGAGTGCGACGTCAGTAACGCATCGCTCCTCATCTGCTCTTTAGGCAGTCCCCTTCACGCTGACGACGCTGACGAAATCATTGTTGCTCCATCGGCTCGTTGGTTGCCGTCGAGAAGCGCTTGTCGAGCGCTGCGAGTGCTTCCTCGTCCCCGTTGCCCTTCTCTCCCTCTCGTCTTTACCTGGCTTGGCTGTGCTGTGGTTGCCGAGGCCATGCTGTAGTAGATCCGTTTTTCCCTCGAGTCCATCGAGCAAAATGGCACTTTTGCATTTCGGACTAAGGTCATTGCCGTTGACGGCTTCCAAAAACTTGAGGAATGTGAGCTTCCACTACCGCCACTGCAAGCAGGCTGGTCTCGGCGTAGCGAGGAAGACGGGTGGTGATAGACTGTAGGTAAACATGGGAGCCATCGACCGGTCCCAGTTATTATGATGAAAGGCGTAGTACTTTCTTAATCCTCGTTGCCATAACTCCGGTGTCCCTAAGACGCGACAGGAGGAAACGACTGCCTTATTCGAACAGTGAACAAAGTGTACTTTTCTTTTCAAGAACCAGAAAAGAAATCGCGTGTACAATGCGGTTGCCAGATGAGACGAAGGATAAGAACAGCGTTGTCAGCATAACAAGCGCACGGCGGAATGATTCTTGTTTCCAGGCAAACTGGCGCAAAGCCACTGCCCGTTAGAAGGGGTACAGCCGTTAAGATTCATCGATCCATCCACTCTGGACTGGAACAAGCCGGAAATGTTTGTTCTGGAACACTGACTGTCACCGTTTTTTCGGGATAATTTGGTGGAATTTGGGGTAAATCCGGTGAGGCTATGGCTTTCTAGGCCAGCGTGAAATAGTGTGGGCGTGAAAAGGTATTGCAAGAGCCCAATCTGTGGACCCCCGTTGTGGAGAAAGTAGCCTCGAATAGGTTTGTTTGGGGCAGGTGTCGCTCATGACGAAGATGAAGGAGGGGAGCCGTTGTCACCAGGAGGCGGAGAAGCGGAGGCAGCGTGAGGTGGCCCAGATGCGCAAGGAGAACCGGCAGCAGGAGAACCGCATCCGCTCCCTGGAGGCCCAGAACCGCACCAAGGAGATGGTGCTCAAGCGGCGCCACGAGGAGGTGGCCGCCCTCCGCCGCCAGGCCCACCCCATGTCCAGTCGCGTGGCGGGACGCCTCGGAGGTGAGCACCTGGCCATTGGGGGCCCCTCCCAAGGCTCTGAGGCGCCCGGATCCAAGTGAAGCGGCCGAAGTGCCTCTCAAATTTCCCCACTAATGTTAGCTGGGAAATTTTTTTCCCTAAATTTAGTGAGGAAATTTTTCTACTAAATTTAATGGAAAAATGTTTTCTGCTAAACTTAACAAAAACATTTTCACGCAAAAAAAAAATTTGCCACTAAATTGAGCGGGTAATATTTCTGCTCAATTTAACGGAAAAATTTCCCTGCTAAATCTACTGGGGAAATTTTTGTTAAATTTAGAGGGAAATTTTGCGACAATTTCCCGCTAAATGGTAAAGGGGAAGGAGGGGGCTACGGAGGGGTAGGGTCCTCCTCAAGCGCTACACTCCCATTCGGCATTACAGGAAATTGTAAATGTTTTTAATTTTTTATACAATTTTCTCGGTGCATTTTATACGATGCGACTCGTATGTGGGTTTCTTTAGCAAAATTTCACTGTGCGACATCATTTTTCATGCGTTGCGCGCCATCTTTTGTAGAGCACCGTAACTCTGTAGGCATAGGTGGCGTTGCCCCTTCCAAGAGGACGGGGCTGTCGCCGCACTCCTCTACACTCTTCATAACTGACTCCGAAAGCGAGGAATTTGACGGTTCTCCAAAGCAGTACAATGTGGATAGCAGAGGCAGTGAGAATCAAGTTGTACAGCATGCAATGGCACCGCTTAATTCAGCCATGGTTCCAGATTCTTTTGCTTGAGTCCAGTAACGCTGAAAGCTAAGAAGGATGGTATACGTGCATTGCATGGAATTTTCTCGCGTCTTTCTTAGTTTCTGTTTGATGAGCAGTGTTTTTCGGTCGTTCTATTTTGCTACGTTGTAAAAGGAATGATTTCGGCTAGCCGATCTTTCAGCAACGTTTCATTCTCTCCATCGTTTCCCTTTTGCACGCATGTGCTCCGACTTGGGGGAAATTGGGAAGGAAGTACGTAAAAAAAGGAGTGTCTTCCCCTCTTTCATTTTACTCGGGTGTCCTCCAATCACCGTGCCGTTTGGGTAGATTGAGAGATTGCCGAGTCCGCATCGGGGTATTGTAGGGGTGGCCGATCGCTCCGTGTTTATTCGGAAATGGATATTCGCCCAGAAAGGGGCAATGACTCTGGATATTACGGTGCTCGCCCGGCTGCATTTAGATGCGCCTTGCGGGATTTCCTTGTGACGTGGCCAATTGATTGGGGCAAAAGAAGTTGACGGCTCTCATAAAATGACTGTGTCCCTCGTGTCTCTGCAACTAAGTAAGCCCTGCTTTCTGGTTGTAGGGAAGTCTCTGTTGGTCTCTCCCAGGGTGGCCAAGCAGAAATGGCAGACGCTCGAAAAAAATGTAAGCATTCGCTTTTCAATCATTTTCTACCTATGAGGTTTCAAGCTGCACCGCCAGTACGTCCTGCAAAAAGAGACGGTCTGAGGACGCTCTCGTGTTTCTCCCTTCATTGGTTAAAGCTGTCTAACTGAGGCAGCCTGGCTTTGTGCAAATATTTAAATTTTTGAATATTTGATAATCGCTCGAGGTGAGCTACGATATTCCCATTTTTCCAATTGGGGACTGCAGCAGGTGTGCTTTGTTGAGCGGGATTCTAATTGAGCACCGATGCACCGCGGAAAAGCCACACCCGTGAAGCTCGCTTCCTTAGGTGCTGCTTCTCTGCACTGCACCGGCGCTCGGTAACAAGTATGGGGCTAACCCCGAAGTGGTCGAGGCTTCAAAAAGTACAAATATCTTAGTTGCAAGCTTGGAACAAAAGCACACTTGAAAGAAACAAAAACTAGCGCAAATGTTGTGGTAAAATTTAAAAAAAATGATGCTGTCGTTATTATGCAAGAGTGTATATGTGAGGCAGAGATGCCCCTTCATCCATCACTCGGGATTGTCTGGGAAGTTCTAGATAGAAGAAAGGATATTTGCATAAATCCCCAGTTAGATGGGCTTAATTTTCTGTCCGTCATTCTCTTGCCATCCTAATGTGGGCATTGAACTTGTGGAGACATGTTGTAAAAAGTGTAACCTTGGGAACAACCTTGGTGGGTTCAGCTGGCAGGGTAGTGAAAGGCTCGGAGAAACTATTCGATACTCAACTAGAAAATATTTTGTCAAAGCCACTATTGGCTAGAAGTCAAAATTTAATATTTGCACACACCTAATGCAAATGCATGAAGCTGCTTGGAACATATGTGCAGATAGTCGGATGTCTGCAGCAAACAGTGTCTCATAGGATCTTTGGCCTAGAGAAATTGCGACGAGCTATTTCTGGTTATATTTTCTCTAGGATTGCGCGAATATTTCAGTTTTCGAATAATCTGGAATAATACGCTACTCGATGTTTGCTTGGAGCTGAACTGCATTATATTCCTATTTTCCCAAAGATCAGCCCCGTTGAGCAGGCTTCTTACTGAGTGCCGCTGCACTGCGGAGAAGCAACACCCGCGGAGCTTGCTTTGGCGGGTGTTGCTTCTCCACAGTTTCTTGGTAAGATGCGCGTTCCATTAGGTATAGCTGGCCATCTCTACGTTCCAATGTGTCGTTTCCTTGCCATCCCAATGTAGGCATTTAAGATAGACGTAAGAAATATCTAAATGGAAGCTTGCGAATGATCTTGACAGCTGGATTTTTGTTTAGCCCTTTGCCAGCCTATGTGCGAGATCCACTTGCAATCCCAGGAAAAGAGGTGCTTTTCGACCCAAATCAATGAGCTGTGCATTGCAGAAAGTCTCTGAGAAAAGCAGTTAGGATGAAACTTAAAATTTATGATGTTACCTCGATCGAATGGGGAAAAAGGAGATTTCATTGTGAGCCAACGTCCACCTAAACCTAATATTGTCGAGACAAGAAATTAGATTGGGACTGTCTGTGGCATCTATGGCAGTGAAAAGACCGGTTCTAACAAAGACAACGGGAATCGGGCATCACTTGGCTATATCCGCTATTTTCTTTTTTTTGTAACCGACTTTGGTTAGAACAAAGTGGGAATGGAAAATGGTGATTGCTCTGCTGTAGCCGCTATTGGGTTATAACCGGTCTCGATAGTATCCTCTTTCTTGTTTAGAAGCAATACAAATCCCGTCCACAATAGACGGGATTGATATCTTGGGTCCATACGAGGCTTAGGTGCAAGTCAGCTTGTAGCGAAAATCTCAGTTGTATTTTGATCTAGGTAACGTAATGTTCTCAGACTTTGCATTCTATCCCAACAGCTAGCGTCACAATCTAACGGAGTTTAAGCTTTCTGCAATGCGAACCTGTGCCAAAAAACGCTGCTTTGGTTTCTCGGGAACTTTCTGTGGCACATTGGAAAGTTTCCAGCTAAACGACAAACTTGGTACACCCGGGAGGTGTTGCTGTCCATATTTGGGTCAGTATGTTTGTTCGGCTGGGGCTATTACTACTTTGGAGTATGCTAAAGGCTAGAAGACAGAAGAAAGGCTCTTTGCATTCATTCTCGGAAGAAAGCGCAAGTTCTGTAAAGTACTTCCGCTTGAGAGAGTAACGGAAGAAAGCCTTTTTGCCCTCAGCATTGCCCTTTTATGCTTTCTCAAACTGAATAGTACATGCCCCCGTTAGACAAAAAAAACATGTACTGACTTGACCTTAGTGCTATCCTTTTCAAAAATTGACTGGAATCTCCATCATGCGCTTTGGTTGCGCGAGGCAAGGCATCTACTGGTCCTCTCATGGACTGTAGGCATCCCCGGAAGAAATTGGGATATGCTGTACGAGGATCGTTTTCCCTCGTGTCTCCCCGAGAGAGATTGTTGCGTGCATTGTCATTATTTTTTTTTCTCGCGACCTAGACCCAACTTGTGTCAGGTGTGTTACATCGCAGCCTAAGTAACGCCGGGTAAGAGATACAATCCAAAGAAAACTTTATGAAAGGAACATAATGGCTTTTTTACAGATGGCTGCTCCAGGGAACACCCCAAGTTTGTTGATGATGATTATATGGGCCCGCAGATATATACAGCAAGGTGCTTCTTCCTAAGCCAGGAGAAACTGCAACATGCTGTCTCATTATTTTTCTCCCGACACGCAACTTGTGTCTAGGGAAGATGCTTGTACCACGAAGTTCCTGAGACTGTAAATTTCTTAGGAGGTCGTGCCCAGGTGCGCGTCTAGGCACGCATACCTAGGGGGAGGCACTCACTTGATCAAATGACGTTTTAGCCAACACCCACGTTTCACCGAATGACACTTCAGCAAATAGTTGGACGCCGCGAAGCAGTGTTTTTGGGTGGGCCAAGCGGGTTCACACTTTTGTGATAAGGCGCTGCTGACTGTCGCCGCCTAGCGGCGTATGCGCAGCGCAGGGGGGGGGGGGGGGAGGGGGGGAGGTTAACGCGCGCCCCCATTATTCGCTAAAACGTCGATTTGCTCAAAAGTTGCTAAAGCGTCATTCGCTCATGTGCTCTGGACCCAAGAGGACTTCAGGAGCGTGGGAACCTTATTTATTGCACTCTTGAATTTCGCAGATTGACAAGCTTGTCCTGAGCAAGCAGAACATCTACACCCTGGAACGGGACATGGAGCGTTGGCTCATGGTAAGCCAATTGCCCCACTCGTGATAAAAGAACCTCCTAATCTTCCAGATCGAACTGAACTTATTAGGTCGTCTAGGGCATTGGATATATGCACGAGTGGATGACCGATCAAATTAAGCTTTTAACGTAGTATGTGTTTAAGGGCTGGAATCCTTGAGATCATTACCAAACGTTCAACAAATTCTTCAGAGTGTGATTCGTGAAAATTTTGTAAAGGAAATTCAAGATGCATTTCAGTGGGAATCCAGCCCCTGAACCCGGTGATTGTGAGTTTGACATTGCACCACCTTATGGCCAGACGCAAAGCTTGCTGGCTTTGTCTACTATGCTAAAGTCTATACTGACTGTTGGGACGCTCGACGCCGACATTTGGCGTTGCAGGTCAAACAGTTTCTGGGAAGAAACAAGAAGTCCAAGATGTGCCCACCATCACGTAAAAGGGGACAAACTATATAGACACGCCATAACCCTCAAGCGTGGATGTGTCGGGGACCCCTTCGGAGTGTGCCAAAGTCACGGGTGTATACAACAACTAATTGCAGTGTGAAGAGGGCATCCTTTACTCTTATTGGTAAGGAGACCAGACCACAAAGCCCGTTTGTTTCCCCAACACAAGGCCCGTGGACAGGCCCACACGCCTTGCGGGCAGGTTTCCATTATCTTCTTCGGTAGAGCACGGGGTTGTGCGAATAGGGGATTTTGATTTCGAATGAAATCCGAAGCGAATAGTGATTTTGGCCGAATATTTTCGAATCGAATATCAAATACTTGTTGTTAAGAAATCTTGGCCGCAAAGTGGCATGCAAGATAATTATTGCAGATGTGCAATTATTAAGTGGGTTGATTTGTGAGAATGAGACCCTAATTAATTTATGTATGACTTATTTATTGGAATACAGGGCGCCAAGGTTTACAAAGATGGTGCAGGCATTGCTGAAGCTCATTGATCGGTTTCTTTTGCCGGTTTTTAAACAAAGTCGATGAAACGAGTACGATGGATATATTTGACAGTTCCCACCGTAATATTTAAACCGTTCTGCCGAACGTCTGAGTATATTTTTGATTTTGGAAATTGTTTCTTACATATTTTTAGACAGTAAACAAACTTGCAACTCAAGGTTGCCAACACTTCGAAAAGCACGAATGTTACGACTGCTCTCAAATCGAATATCGAATAGCGTAATATTCGAAACTACCATTCGAAAATTCGAATATTTGCACAACACTAAAAATACTATCAATAAACGAAGAAGTCCCTCTTGAAAGTAGTCATCAGGCAGGGTATGGGAACTTGACCCGCTTGGGCTTTTGTGCTGGGCATATGCAGCGTGCATGCTGCATTGTTCCTGCAGGACAGAGGGCTGGCCCCCCTTTGGGCGACCGGAAAGCTCCAGCCGGACACCGACGCCGCATTCGGTTACATCGGCCGATCCGTGTAGTTCTAAAGTTTGGGGCACCACAGCCTGATCTCGTCCCGACAGAAGCGAGAAGCATCAAGAGGATGAATAGACGGATAGATCGGGACGGCTGTACCTTTATTAACGGGGTGGTAGTTTGCACCACCGTAGTCAATAATACTTTTTTATTTCAAAAAAAAAAAGGGGGGGGGAGAGCTTTGCAGACTGGCTGTAGCGAAAGAAAGAGTCCTTCGAGCTTGAGCATGCTAACCAAGACTCGTAAGTGCAGAAGGTGTTATAGGCATTCCATGGAAGAACAGAAAAGCGTCTTAATGGCACTGTCCACCGAAGATTCGCTTTCATTTCTGACAAATTCTGTGAGGTGGCGCTACACATCCCCTCAAAAAAGTAAAAGTTCAGGCATCTCGTATCGAACCAACGTTCGACACATCGATCAGCACGCCTCTCGTAAGGAGGCTTTCACTGAAGACTACCTTCGCAGTGTGGTTTGTATGCGCCAGGGATAAAGGACTCTGGCCACGGGCAATGAAATGTACAAACTGTCGGGGGAGAATAACACCCCGCTTCGACTCCTTAGAGCCCCAAAAAAGTCTGATTGAGCCAGTTGACAACTATCGTACAAATCGCGCTTTGAACGCCTCGTTTAGTTTTGTTTACCTTTAACTTTCACCATTTTGCTTTGTTGTTTTTGTTTTGACATTAATGCGAGAGCATTAACTTTCCCATGGAGCGAGCCGACGTCATCAGCTTTGAAGACGCGCCAAAAGGCACCTATTATCCCCGGTCCCAATGGAGCCGAATGAAGCCGTAATCTGTAGGCTCCCAGCTTTGAAGCCGCGCAAAGAGCCTCAGAACACGGCAGCCAAATTCACCTTTCTAAATGGAGGGAATGTGACGGGTAGGTTCGCATTGGCTGGTGCACGTCATAGTTTCAAGGAACGAGGCTCCCGTTGGCCAGGCGTCAGATTCAGGGCGCTGCGGGCCCACGCCGGGAAATGGCTGGCTGCGGGGCCACCCAGAGCACGCTCGGACAGACTTTGGAGCGGCTCGTACGGCTGATGTCGGCGCGGCCACTTCACGAGAGCGCCCGCTCGGCCTTTGGCCCTCGGCAGTAGCAGAACGTGGCCGTCCATGCGAGTGCGCCGCACTAAGGGAGCGGAAGAACGACATTTATGCTTTCGCATTCACAACTCCCAAGAAGTTGTGAATGCGAAAGCATTCACAACTTCTTTGTTCATTCACAGCTTTTAATGAAACCCAACAACACTTTTACGTATTACAAAAAGAAGCAGCCCTTTGAATACATTTATAATATCGCGGACACCCCGGTTACTGTGGAGCGAGAATGTAAATATCTTGGTTTAATTATATCGGACACACTTTCTTGGTCTCCTCATATAAAACATATCTGTACTTCGGTATCCAGGAAGTTGGGTTTCATTAAAAGAAAGTTGAACGACGCTCCGATTCAGGTTAAGCTACATGCGTATTATTCATTAGTCAGATCCAAGTTGGAGTATGCAAATATCGTTTGGGATCCATTCACTCAGAAAGATATCCGGAAGTTGGAGATGGTGCAACGTCGAGCGGTTCGGTTTATTTACGGAAAGTATAGAAGGCTGGATTCACCATCTCAACTTATGCAGGCTAACGGAATACAGACTCTTCAGGCCAGAAGAAAACTAGCGCGGTTGAAATTCTTGTTTCATCTTCAGCAAGGACAGACTCGCATAGACCCATTGCAATATATTTCCCCTTTAGCGTCAAGAGCTACGCGGCACAGACATCAGTTTTCACTAACACCCATTTTTGCGCGTACTAATATGTTTAAATTTAGCTTTTTCCCTCGCACTATTAGCGACTGGAACGGTTTACCTCTCGAACTATTTATCGACACCAACTTTGTAGAAGGTCTCGAGCGTCTTGATAACTAACATGTTTTGCTTTGTACATTGCTGCACCTTCATCTTTTTCGCATGGACATTAGGATTGTATAAACCTTCATACTACATCTGGATAGGTCATTTTGTATTAGTGCATGATGGAATTACATACTGCTTGATGCTTGCTTTCCCCCCCTCCCCCTTTTTTTAAAATAATATATCCTGTATATTTGCTAGTTAGTTGTAAACCTTTTAATGTCGTGTTACCCTTCTGAAAATTCAGAGGCGATACAAGATTTTCATACAATGTTATTGGATACGAGAACTTACAAGATCTTGTATGGATACAAGAAGTTACGAGATCTTGTATGGATACAAGATTGTGTATGGATACGAGATCTTGTATGGATACGAGATCTTGTATGAATACGAGATCTTGTATGGATACAAGATCTTGTATGGATACAAGATCTTGTACAGATACAAGAAGCTACCGAAAATCTTGTATGTGAACGAGAAGTTACAAGATCTTGTGTGAAAACAATAAAGTGAAGCGTCATAACGTAAGAAATTTGGGGCACCATGGAGCCTTGCATGTAGGATAAGTTTATTATTGATGATTGTGTCTATTAAATTTATCAAAAGGTGGTATAGAAAATTGAGTTCATGCATGTAATAAAAAATGTGTTTCAACTGTATACATAGAAAAAAGAGGAAAGCATTATTTATCATGTGTATGCCACTCCACCAGTCATTCTAGATACATTGTTGATTCCTAGCTATTTTATATGTTGTGGGGCATTCAATGTTTTAATAATCCAATTCAGATATACCATAATAACTTTATTGAAGGTAGGGAGAATTTTAAGTACATTGGGAAATATGGCTTCAGTAAAAAGCATTAATTTTGCCAAAATACTCCCACACATCGTTCCCCCTTGGGTAGTAGTCTACGTCTACCCGCTCTCAGCAGGCTGCTGGGTTGCCAGCTGCTGGGTAGCCGGCTGCTGAGCTGGTGGCTGCTCTGCTGCTAGCTGCAGTGCAGACTTGGCCTCCAGCTTTCTCCACTGGTTGGCCTTGTCTTGCAGGAAGGTGGCCACATACTTATTCATTAGGCCTAGCCGCCGCTTCTTGTTCGGGGCATCCCCAACGAAGGTGGAGAAGGCAGCTGAAAACATTGAACAGAACAAAATGTACCAATGTCAGCAGAAATTTTTAAAAAGTTTGAGGAGAAATAAAGGAATTTTGCAAAACGAGCACATCAAGCTATATTTGCGACTCCAGCAACCTACAGGGGGCGCCACCACCAAACAAACATGGCGGCTGAGTCCAGGTCGCGTCGACTCGGCCGGGCTGCCTGAACAGGTGGCGCGTTCAATTTAACAGATTTTCTTTTGTTTAATGCCCAATTTTATAGGTGTTTGAACCGAGGCGGTTAAGTGTAGCCGATGCACATAAAGTTGCAAAGCATAGTTTTGTTTTTTCTGTGTGTTTTGTTCTTTTCATGCCAAACTTTCGTTTCGGAGATTTCGTTCAAAACTGAAACTATAAGCTCGGAGAGACGGTAATATACTAATCTAAGGAAAGCGGCGGTGACTACAGGATTGTTCCACCGAGAGTAATCTTCAGCTAACTCGCACCCCTCGACCATGCGACTTATCTGTCCGCGAAATCGAGCTTTTGTGCGTATCCGCGTTTAAGAAACAGCTGCAGTCGTCTGCTCGGTCAACAACACAGGCCGCAGAAAAATTAAGAAAATTAAGCAAGCGCTTCTTAAGCCAAGGACCATATTAACCCGCCGGCGCCCCACTAAGCAGCTGATACTCATATTTCAGTTCAGGTTTTAGTGTGGTCCAGAGGCTTTATTGGCGAAAGCAGCCAAGATGAATAGCCAACTCAAGCTTGAAGTTAACCAAAGACAACCAAACTCAAGAAAAGCAGCTATCGAACCTTCCCATTCACTTGACTGCAAAATTGGTGTTCCCTCCAGTGAAACACCTCATCTGTCGTCCTCAGTTCACTTTTCTACATCCTTACAAAGACTACATCCTTACAAAGAAACCACTTATCGTGATTCGAGAAAGACAAGAAATCAAAATGTTTTTCCGTGACTCCTCCCCATCCAAGAAATCGAAAGCACGCGACCGTGCGCTGTGAAGTAGAGGGGCTTTCAAACACGTGATGGGAGGAAACAATCTACTAAGGTTTCACCACACTAATGAACACTGAGGCAAACTTAAGAAATTTTTGGACCTCTGTGAAATTACACTGTACGCCACCGCGCCGACAACAAGTGTCCGCGAAAGCCACCATAGACGCGGAGGGGCGCGGAGCGACCTGGTCCGGCTGGTTCCTGGTTTTCTCGCTTAGTGGCGTCCGTTTTGCTGGAGTCGCAAATAGACCAACACGCTGTTTGCAAACAAGTCGGTGCTTGTCCACACCACACGTGGGTACTGCACGTGCACAGAAACCAGATTCGAGTAAGGTGAAGCACCTGTGCTCTGGTGACGGCAGCGGCATAACGTCAGAGCCGTGCCTTGGTATATATATACTATAAGTAGTCTTTATCCCAGACATCACTTCTATAAAAAATACCTGTTCAATAAATTTTAATGTTTTAGCATGACCACTAAACATTTGCACAACAAACGCTTATTTTGAAAAAAAATTGACACGACCATGCAAGGCAGAAATTACAGCTATTTTGACTATTTTAGGTAGTGTTCATTTCAGGTAAATTATTGAACTTAAATATGCGAGTAAATCGGGTATGCTTGCATACCTTGTTATTTTAAGAATGTGCCATATTATTAAAAGTGCCGGAAGGAGAAATGAAGGGAGGGCCGTAATGCTTCAACTGGACAGGCCTCTGTTTAAACCTCACAAACAAGGTAGAAACCAAAGATTGGCGTATGTACAGCAATTAACCAACTTCCCCGCTACATTTAGTCAGGAAATCTCGTTATAATGTTACACATGAATTCGGAATTTTCCATTAAATATTGCTTCCTACTGAAGTTTTGGGTAAGAAAATTTCAACAGAAGCAATAAATAAAAATGTAACTAGTAGCACAATATATTCCGTCTCACATTCTGTTCACCTCAGCTTTATCACAGATGAAGCACCCACTCATTTTTCAATAAACTGCTTACCCTGATATCTTTGAAATGAAATAAAAATTTTTTTAAAACAATAGGTACTTTGCAACAACTAATTTGGTTACTTTAGCAAGCATGATGAAATACAACAAGCAAGTAGGTTGCTAGCATGTCTTACATAACCAAGAGCATTGCACTCCCGAGTTCTGATGCCTGGCTTGTTTAATGTGGATAGATTTGAGCACATTCGCACATACCACGAATACTGCAGACTTTTTCGGGAGTCAGGGCCGTCCTTGGCTCCTTGGCGTTCTCCATCTTCACAAATCGCCGACAGGGAACCCCCGATAGGCTTCTGTTGCGAAGCTCCCTGTCGGTCCATGTTGCACGGAGAAGATCTTTCACAAACTTTGCGTCTGTCGGAGACTCGGCGATGTGCTCCCCCTTCGTCTTTGGGGCGGTCTTGATGCCTCTAGCCTGCATAAAAGGAATTATTGCAATGTTATCCCTACAGATTGAATATTTTGGAAGTAAGCAGATACTCCTTTTTAGGGCTAAACATGAAATGAAGTGCCTCTTGGGGGCACAGATCTGGTCAGGCATCATGCCTTTAGTCTCAGTCACCTTCCAAGAACAAATAAACAAATGAAGTAAAATAATGAAAGATATGGTGATGGTGCAATGGACTGTGCAGTGCTTGAATACTTTTCAGTGGATGCGGCTCCTTATGGTTATGTACCACATGATGAATAGTGCTCAGCTCTGTACTACATGGCAACTGCATCATACCAGGAATGCCTTGGTACTTGATTAGACATGGCTCTAGATTGGACAATGAAAGAGCGTGGTTTGTTAAAGGAGCCGTCAAACAATCTTTTCCGAAGTTCTGAACTATATGTCTATTTAAAATTCTTGTCCTTCATTACATAACCGACGTTCATTCATTTAATCGTCCACATTCATTTACTAGTGCAAAAAAGTTAATTTCAGTTTTTCGGGGAGCTACCCACCGAGTTCTACTATGGTGCCTGGAGCGCATCTCCGACTGCTGTGTTTAGTGTCCTATGCTGCCCATACATCAAAAGTGGTCTCGAAGTGGCAAAAAATGACGTCACAGAGGCCGAAGTGTCATGCTGTTGCATGTCGCAATCCTAGTGGCTGGTCATAGAAATGCATGCAAAAAGCATGAACGAATGCGAGTGTCGCCGTCATCACGGCGTCCCAACTCGTGGCTGCCGAAGCTTCCATGGACTGTGACACTGGAGAGCAACCTGTGGCATAACAGGCGTCTGCCACATCCACCAGTGCTGCTGGGACACCGCCAGGGCCACAACCGGCAACAGCATGACACTTCTATGACATCATCAGGGACCACTTGTTTGGACACGGTAAACAGACCATTCAAAGACGTGTTCCAGGCACCATAGTTCTACAGACACGTCAGGATAGGTAACCGATAGGAAATTTTCGTTGTATGTGAAATATGGCGACATAGACCCGGACTCTATGGGCGAAGCCAGAGTCCGGTCTGACATCTGATGTTATGCTCACATAACTCTAAAATGGCCGACCGCATTGACCTCTAGCCGCTCTAGCGCCGCATATTGAACCGCGGTCGGCTTTTAGTTTTCCAGCCGTACGCCGACATTGAATGTTCTTTGGGCTACCGTATGCCATGCTAATAGGAAAGTTTCTGAGGGAATATTTTGCAACTTGGACCGGTCAAGCCGCATACTGATACGACCGTCAAATGGTGACCTGCGAATATGTTCTCGCTCCGATCAGAAAAGAGCTGATCTGCTTACAGAAAAAGAATGAGAGGGCTAAAAACTGGTGTAGCCAGGAATTTTTTTCAGAGGGGGCTAAGGTGGCTGGAGATACCCATGACTTAAGGTGTGGAAGGGAGGAGGTCAAAAGGCATGTGTATACTAAAAGGTAAGCTGGGTTTTGGCGGGGGGGGGGGGGGGGGGGTTGAAGCCTTATAAGTTTCCCCCTGGCTACGCCACTGGCTGGAAATATAAGCGAAATAAATCGATTTTGCAGGATTAGCATGTCAAGTTGCTGTTGAGGAAGACTGTGGTAAATTTAAATTGATGAAAAAGTCACAACTGCCAGTTGTGCGACTTACCTATGGCTAACCCCGAAAAACAAGCGACACGAGAAAGGATGTGCTGATAGTCGAAAGGTCACGCGTGCATATCCCTTCTACCTACTGACCTTGCAAAGTTCAGGGGGGAATACTCTTGAAATTGCAACTTTTTTTATATCTTAACTTTATGTTTTATTATGATTGTAATCCACAATCAGGTTCCACAACAAATGACAGCCATGGCAAGACAAGCAGCATATTTACAATGGTTACTAAACAACAGGAGATGTGGATGTGCTTGAAACCGAAACTGTACCGTGACCATATGATGTAGTGGCATACAGTTCATACAAGAATACCAATGTACAACTCAATACTTTCCTCACTCCCAATTTATCATTTGAAGATTGAATAAAGTGGAATATTGATTCAACCTTTTTACATAGCTATCATGATGCTTTGTTGCTCATGCTCCCGAGGGGAGCATGAGCATGGTCGTTTTAGACAGTTAAAAGAAAAATTTATTCTTAAACACAGTTCATAAAATGCAGGACCAATATTTTACCGTAATACTTTTAATGAATATAAAAAATTAAGTGCTGGCAGACACATTTTTTTTTCATTACCTCTTTAAACCACAATCTAGGTTTTTACCTGCTCTCATTTTGTCACTTCACGCGTCATTGATATCTGCATTACTAAGCGTTTATAGTAGAAACCTTGAAAATGTATAACTGCGACATTCAGTGGTTACAAACTATTTATGAAATATTTAATTAAAGGGTGCGTGACAACACTACAGTCTTCCCCTGATGCTGGGTGGTCTTGTTTTCTTTCCCAGTGAAAGCCAATTTAAAACATGGACAGCATCATCTCTAGGACTCAGCTCCAGGAACACATTGCAACCATGCAAGTCCGAATCTCAAATATCATAAGTCCTCTTTCCATAGATGATATATTGTCTTGCATAATGCCTCAACCACGTGCCTTTGCATGCTTCCATGTGGCAGCTCAGTGTGGTACAACATATATCCTGGGACTGACCACCATAGTGTCTCCTTTCTCAGCTCTGACACAGAAAAAAAGCTGTGCATATGGAACATTATAACAATATTCCTTTACGCTGCAGCCATACAAAAACACCAATCAGTCTCTGCATATGCACATGGGACAACAAGAACACAATGGCAATTACTTTCGTTTTGTAAAGTGCTAGGTTTGTTAGTGAGAGTGATTGTTAGAGACTGGTTTCCTAAATGCACCAATGGGATTGTTTTGTCCAACTTTCTCAGAAAGAAATCCTCACGCCCACGTGGTATGTGGAGGGTGATGATCTTGTAGACCAATGGTTCTTAAATGGGGTTCCGCAGACAACTTGGGGTCCGCGAAGGCTTTCTAGGGGTCCGTGAAGCCCTGCCTCATCAGTCAAGCCCGGCGATAAAGGTTGTCTTTTTTCAGGTCGAGAAGAAAAGTTTCAGTTTTCCGGCCAGTTTTCTCGTGTGTATATAAATAAGAGAGGTCTACTTCACTCTAGCAATTAGTTATATCTATTTATGAAATCATTATTATAATTAATCTATACCTTTCCCCTCCCCTCACCACGAATGGAGCCCTCCATTATCTACGCCGAACCACAAGGGGTCCGCAAAACAGTGATGGTTAAAAATCACTGTTGTAGACCATGCTTGTGGGATGTTTCAATTGAAACAGCCGACATCATTTTTCCACCACTGGCATTCTTTGTTTCAGACTGAACAGCTAATTAGCAGTGTTGCAGATGTATGACTCAAAAGTTGCAAATAAACGTGAGAGCAGTGTCTATAATCGTGATCAACCTACCGGAACGGGGTCAACAGCCGGCACGGGGTCAACAGCCGGCACGGGGTCCACAGCCGGCACGGGGTCCACAGCCGGCACGGGGTCCACAGCCGGCACGGGGTCGACAGCCGGGACCCTGACAGGAGGGGTTGGCAAACTGGGGCTCTGGACCAAGGAGCCCATCGCTCCAGCTAGTGCTCCAATGGGTCGGGTCCCCTCGTACTGACGTGGCTCCTCTGCCAAGCACACAGGCAGAGGCACGGGGTGCGCCAGCTCTTCCAGGTCCAGGGAGGGAAGGGGATCGTGGACTGGAATGTCTTCCTGTAGAACTGGCAGCACGAGAGACCTCCGTGCCCCTGGTGCAGAAGAGTGCACCCGTGCTCGGGGGCAGCCTGCTCCAGCTGGCAAGCCTCCTCGAACACTAGTAGCCAGAGGAGGGCCGGAAGGACGGCTTGCCTTGGCAGAGGGCAACTCCGCTCCTGCAGTGGCTTCAAAGCATATCCCCAAGTATTAATCTACACAGGCTCAGCTGGTGCCTCTATTGTCGTCAAGCATCACACTCACTCGTGTAGTAGCCCCACTCTGTAACACAATATTTGTCCAACTGCTGCATGGGCACCCTGTCGAGTTTTAAGTTTGTGCTTTGTCACGGCCAGCTTAAAAAATTCAGGGCGTCACCTATTATGTTCATGCTTCATGATTAATTCTTTGGCATTCTTACGGCTAATGATGCTATCATATTGGGTATAGTGTGACAATAAGAGGCTTGGCATTCAGTATGGCTCACTCCTTAAGTTACCAGTGACTATAGACCGTTTTATCGTGGGTAGCGCCATTTTGAGAGCGAGAGAGAAAAGGGGAAAGGGCTACCGGCGCTTTCCCCTTTTCTGATTGTGTAGAAAGAGTAAAAGTCCCGGATGAGGAGGCTTGGCCGGTGTTGGGTGTCTGCTGTGCCCCAACTTCTTTCGCGCTTTCTTTTCTGTTTTAGACTCGCAAACTTAATTAGAGCCACGGGCTTTGATGGCAACAATCCCCCGGTCATCGGGACACCATTGCTCGGTCATAGGGTGCACGAATAACGACAGAAAGCGTCGAATACTGTCCGAGGACCTATGTAGCTTGCAATGAATCCGGCAAGGCACGTGCGGCTGCAATGTTTTGAAGCTCCACCGCTTTCCGCGTGACTGGAAAAGATGAACCATTCATAAACTTTTGTTTGCAATAGGCCCATTTCAACGCAGCCGGTTTTAGTCATAAACAAGCGATACACGAAATGGGAACCTCAATTAACTTTTGTAAACACCCGGAGCTGCTACATATCGTTTTGCTGCGCTGCTTTTATCTTGCGTGTCCGTGTTCTCATATTTCATCGTGGATGAACGACGAAGACGTTCTAGATGTGCTTATATCGAACCGCAGAAAGCGTCAAAGCAGCCACGAATTATTTTACTATTTGATGCAATATTTTGAGTACTAACCTCCAATTTCTATCACTGACACGTTCGCTGCCGCTGTTCCCCCCGTTGCCGCACTGGCGGATGCGATGACTCGAACAAAGAAACGTACACACTGGGCTCGAAGACGCAGATCGCAACACACGAGTCATACCCTGGAGCGACTATCCAGCGCTTCAAAGCGCCCAATCAACGGAAACAACCCAAAAAACCCACCAGCGGCACTCCAAGGAGCGCTTTTGCCGGCTCTCTGGTATCGCACAGGGGATCGCTATTCAGGAAAACCGATAGAACTACCTTTTCAACAATTTCTAGCCTCACCCGGCGGCGGAAATAAGCCTTCAACTAAGTGTTGGAAATGATGAAATCGACTCAGTCACCACTGCAAATTATCAATATTAAGATAAATTCAATTACAAAATTTTACAAACTGAAACAGCAATTATCACGAGAAAACTGGCACGCACCTTGCAAGCGTACCCCATGTTCATCGGCAGTACAGCGTTCGGTGCGCGCTCCATTCACAAGCTGTTCCGAGCACAGTCGAGAAGATGGTGTTGAGGAAATGTCTTTTCGGTTTACGAACGCAACCCACTGCCGCCAAGACCGGGGTCATGTGGAAAGCGATGGAGCTTAAAGACATTGCAGCCGCTCTCGCCTTGACGGATTCATTGCAAGCTACATAGGTCCTCGGACAGTATTCGACGCTTTCTGTCGTTATTCGTGCACCCTATGACCGAGGAATGGTGTCCCGATGACCGGGGAACTGTTGCCATCAAAGCCCGTTACTCTAATTAAGTTTGTGAGTTCAAAACAGAAAAGAAAGCGCGAACAAAGTTGGGGCACAGCAGACACCCAACACCGGCCAAGCCTCTCCATCCGGGACTTTCACTCTTTCTACACAATCAGAAAGGGGGAAAGCGCCGGTAGCCCTTTCCCCTTTTCTCTCTCGCCCTCTTTCAGTAAAACGGTCTATAGTACCTGCGAGAGGGGAGAACATACAAGAAGGGACCCAAAAGTAACCAGAATAAATTTATGGAGGGCGGCCGTTCGTAGTACCAGCTTCCGCCGCTAGCAGCGCTTAGCGGCTCCCTTTCCGAGTCAGTCTGCCAACCAGCGTCGTCTGCTAAAGTTCTAGCGGTATGTTGTAAATTTATTTTCCCCGAGTGCTTAAAAAGTATTCCTCGATTTTTGCAATGTTTCATTTCAAGGACCTTCCACATTCACAAAAAGTTTTCCTTTCAGAACTTTCTTCATATGGGCAAACAGAAAAAAATCACAAGGTGAGAAGGTCTGGTGAATGGGGGGGGGGAAGCAATGTCACACCATTTTTGTTAAAAAGCTGTTTCATCAACAGGGCAGTGTGTGCTGGGGCATTGTAGTAATGGAACCACCACTTCCCCCTTTCCCTCAAATCGCGGTGTTTCTACCGCACTGAGTGGTGCACGCGTCGCAAAACTTCCAGGTAAAGCACCTGATTAACAGTTTCACAAGGGGGCTACACAAGACGGCGGGATGAAGGGACCGGGATGGCGCCACCTGCTGCGATTGGTCAGTGGCATGGCACTGACCAATCGCAGCAGGTGGCAACCAGTCCTTTCGTCCCGCCTCGTCTTGCCATCTTGCATAGACCCCCAGGAGGAATAAACTCAAGAGTAAACAATGCCCAAATTTTCTCAATGTTTTCATTAGTTGAGGGTCGCCCTGAACGAGGTTGGTCGTCACGTCGATCAATAATTCACCGGCCTTGAGGCGAGAAAACCACCTGCAGACGTGCAATTTTTTCACGGCATCTTCCTTGTAAGCCGTCTGAAGCAAAAAAACGTTTCCGCTGCCGTTTTCATAAAACAAGAACACAATTTTACGGCCTCACGCTATTCCTTCAAATCTGACATTGCAAAAAAAAGATGAATGACTCGAAAACAAAAATTTACAATATGTTATTAGAACTTTAGCAAACGATGCCGGTCAGCAAACTGACTCAAAAGGGGTGCCATAAGCACTGCTAGCGGCGGAAGCTGGTACTACGAAGAGTTAGCCCTCCAGAAATTTCTTTTCATTACTTTTGGCCCCCCCCCCCCCCCCCCCCTTCGTATGGATGTAGAAACTTCTGTAAAGTTCTGTTTCCTTTCGGTCTATTTTCTTTAAGAACTGGCAAAATTTTTCATTGAGGAGTGTGATAGAGTTAACCACTGGGCAAATGCAAAGACACAGATTTACTCATACAAGATTCATTGTCACAAATTAGCTGCCCTCGAAATTACTGCCCGTCATGCTCTGTCTGCACATCTGTCCTCCCCGAGACTACTCTGCCCTCTCCCCGGGAGAGGAAAAGCGTGTCACTCATGGGAAAAAATTGCAAACTGCTCTTCCCCATTCAAAGTATGCATCACCAAGCAATGCAGGAAAGTCAACTTGCATATTCAACAAGCTTTGCCATGCGGTAATTATGTTTATTAAGACAGGATTTGCTAAGGCATGAAAATATTTATGCTAATTTTTTAAAAATAAAACCACCTGCACAGTACAAACTCACGTGGTCTGCTCATTAGTGCCTTCTGCACGTTGCGAGCATGCCTCCTCTCCTCGTCCAGCTCTTGTCTCAAGCGCTTCACTTCTTCTTTAAGGGCACGCTTTTTTGATCGCTCAGCCTCATACAATGTTGCGGCAACCATTGGTGGACCTGCAAGACAAAACAAATAAATGTAACAACTTCTGCTATACATTTATCTTGATTGCTCCAGTAAAAGTAACTCTTAAGGCTAGAAACATTAAATTCTGTACCTACACAAAATTTAAGCTAAGTATTTTAAGAATTATGCATCCTTACATATTCCTAAAAATGCTCTGTGACTTTGCATTATGCATCGGTCATCTCCTGGTTTCACTGCTTGCCTGTTCCTCCTCAGCTAGCACCCTAAGGGCCTGCTTATACAAACAAACAAGTTTACTATCAGTCCTATCTTTGGTTTTTCTTGCCACATTACTATCCCTGCATCATAGCTGCTATTTGTGAAGTGTGTGCTGCTTTGGCAATTCATTGGAGTGTTCAGCAGTGTGTGATGTAGTAGAAAATCGAGCATTTCTTTCGTACAAATACAGACTCTGCATAAGTAAATTAACTTACCACACATGTAGGTACTATTTTTTCTGCTGCATTGGATATGCATCTTGGCACAGCATAAGTGGAAAACTACAAATGAGCTATGTGCTTCTTACTGGTACTAACAATATATGTGCATAATAAGGCAAATGCAAATACACTTACCCTCCAAATCCACTCCGTCATGTCGACGGTTGTGAGACGAGACTTGGGATGTCGGTGGCAGCTCAGCAACAGTTCCTGAGCATGAGCCTTCATCCTAAAACATCGACAATAAAAACTGTTGTTGGGAAGCTTGATCCTGAAGTAATGAAGGCAACAAGGGATTAAAGAAAACCTCTCGTACTTAATTCCTTGTACTCAGCTATATCAGATTGTTCCCAACTTTATTAGAGCTTTTAAGGCTGGAAGTCTCTCCAAAACAATTATTTATTTTCTCTCTGTTTGGGGTTTGAATTATCTCAACGGTGGATTGTAGGCCGGCAGAGGTCATTAGTGTCAATGAATTTGTTTCATTAGGTTGTTTCTATATTAAAGAAACACTAAATTGGTCTAGCTGGAATTAGACGGCTGTTGTTGTTTTTTTGTTTTGAAAGAGGGCACTTTTTCCATGGCACATGCCAACCACCCTCAAAAGATCACAGCAGCTGATGAATGCTGCCCTGTGCATTTTTTGGTTTAAAACTGTGCATCAAGCTCGTGTTGTAACAACATTGGATTGGCCAGGCTGACCCGGCCTAAGAGCTGCAAACAAAGCCACAAAACTTCCAAGAGCCAGGAAGGGCTCAAACTTTTATCCAGAGCAATAAAGGAAACTCGAACTGCTTTCAATATATCAAAGTCAAAAGCAGTTCCACTGTATGTAAAGTAGCAGTAGCTCAAGTCTACCAAACCGCAACCTGTCTTTCGATTTAAGATATGTTCCATTTCTCTTTTTGGGGAAGTGCTTGTGTGACCAGGAGGGAGGCGGGGAAGTGGAGGGGTGAAGGGGGGGGGGGGGGATGGAGCCACGAGCCATACTTTAACACGCAAAGAGCCACATGCGGCTCTCCAGCTGCAGTTTGGCCACTTCTGTAATAACATATTCACAGCAACCTGCATTTATTGTATCCATTGCACATAAATGCCACATACCTCTGTGGAGGCAATTTCAGAAAGTGGAGAAAAAATTAAAAACAGTGTTTAAAAAAGTATTATTGACCATCTGAAGGAAATAATCCAACAGCCCGGAAACATGCCGAGAGAAACAAAAGTGACCTTTAGGACAGCACTTATGTTCACACTGGCGGTTGATCAGAGTTTGCAAACCAGGCCATGGATGCGGTTTGCGAGCCAACCGCGTCTCAGACACACAGAGACGCGGTTGGTGATTCCTCGGCAATCATGTGTGATCTTGGCGTTCTGCGTTCGGCAACCTTGTTTTACAATCAAAAACCAAATATAAAAATCTTTTCTTTTTTCTTCAAGGGGGGGGGGGGCTGTTTGCACGTTATAGAGGCTGGAGCACTTGGTACACATGCATCGCAAGTTCAGGTAGCAAAAAAAAAAAAAGAGAAGAACCTGCAAAACCACATCTCCAATTCCTTCAACTGCGCCCACGGGCAAGGCCCAGCTAGGTGTGCCTTGCTGACTTAAAAGAAGATGCACCCGACCCTTTCTTCAAAGTGGACCCTTCCTGCATGAGTAGCTGACCATGTTTTCGGGATAAGAGGGCCTGATTTACCTGCCTCTTCGCTCGCTTTTTTTATTTTCGGAGTAGTGCGGGAAGTGTGTGGTGCGGGAAATGTGTCCGGCTAGTGGCTTGTTTGGTGGCTGACTCGCCTCTCGTCACTCACACGTCGATCGAGGCTGCTGTTTGTTTATATTAAAAGCGCACTAAACAGGGTTTTACGAGCCCTAAGCATCCTAAAATTCCAAAAATTACAATCGTGCATGATTTTAATTTTTGAATTTTTAGGATGCATGGGGCCCGTAGAATTAGTTATTACCAAGAACAATCACAAAACCCTCTTTAGTGCCCCTTTAAGCTCAAATAAATGCCGCATGGATTACCTGTGGATAGTCTGGTATGTATACACTTGATTTCTTGAGTAGATTTCTTTTATTCCTTTTGGTGGTAGAAACATCACAGGTTAAGCTAGCACAGTTATCTTGGGTGTCCCGCCAGTTCCGCAATAGTGTGTGCGCTACGCAATTATGTTCACGGCATCTCTATCAGCCTTCAAGGTTGTCATGCATGGTATCAAAAGCTTTCAGCAGTTTATGTGAATGCCGAGGTAGGTACAGAAGCTGCAACTTCGAGTGGTTGGAGGCGGGCTTTGATGTTCAACGGGCAAAGACGAACAAGGCAGCGCAACGACAGGCTTTGGCGCCCCAAATAATAAACAGCTCGAATTACCCAAACCAGAAACCAGTTAAGATTACGAGTCAATTATCTTCGCAGCAGATTCAAATGATGGACTTGAACATCATGTTTCTTCGCTGAATAGCCGGCTGCAATGCTAGAACTACAGCGCATAGGATGCCTCACCAGCAAAGGGTGCCATTTCGCTTCGAAAGTCACTGACGTCACGTCAGCATCACGTTGCAGTTGGTTGCCGCTTTGCAGTTCACGAAAGTGGTTGGAAGGAATCTGTCACGAAGCGGTTGGCAAAAACGCACCTCAACTGCACAATTCCAGCGGCTTAATTGCGGTTGAAAACGTGCAGATCTGCTTTGCGGTTGCGGATCTACTTCCAGTGTGAATGTATCATTACAGCTCTTATAGACAACATATTGCACTGAATTACCTCTGCTGGCTGTTCTTCCCCTGTGTCATAAATGACACGTGGCAATGCCAGCCTCTCCTTCACCATCGCCCGAAGTAGCAAGTCTTTGGTTTCTGAAGCAAAGAATAGTTTTCTTAGACATGAATAATAATACAGTGTGTAACATATGTTTAAATCAATAGCAATAATGTAAACTGAATACTACAGAAGTGGTTTGTATTAATGAGCAAGACACAAATGAAACAGATGATATCCAGCCAAGAATGGGTTAACTGCATTGGGGAAGTTCACTTTTGCAAAGTTCTTATTGAAAAGCTACCCATAAAGCACATCTAGCATGGCACTGTGAGCTACAGTACTTCTTCTGGCCAGCCCAGAACCACAGCACGATACTATGAACAGGACACGAGCATAATTGGGTTGTGGGGATATTTATACAGCGTGTAGTGGGTCAGCCATTAAAGTTGCGACGAGTCACACGCTGTAGATGAGCAATTTAGCCAGTGCAGTACAACCGCTAGCCTGGGGTCTTTAACGTGCACCACACAGTAGTGATACACGACCGCACGCCGGTACGATGCTCATCCAGATTGAAACGGGCAGGGGTGGGGATTGAACCTGCAGGATCCCTAGGTTCTGCAGCGTGAGCTTTCACTCCACGCGCGTCGAGCTGGGTGTGCGCTTAAGCCCACTCGGCCACTGATTCCCCCCCCCCCCCCCCTCCCCCTTCCCCAAATCCAGCCGACCCTTTTTCATACACATGCATTTTGACCTGCCGTACCCCCCCCCCCCCCCCCCACCTACCAAAAAAAATTTCTATCTATGCCACTGTAAGGAAGTTCCCACCTCACATAGCTTGCAAAACTGTAATTCTAATGTGCATGCCTGAAACTCAGCAGGCAGGTAGTTCCAAAACTTTATCACCCGGCCTGAGCGCTGGAATTAAACTTGAGTGGAAATTGAGCGTTCGGTGATGAGTAGTTTATTTTTGCGGTAAAACAAAAGCTTTTTTTTTGTATGTGTCTGTGTGTGGGAGCGGGGGGGGGGAGGGGGGGGGGGCGGGCGGGGACACCCTTTATGAGTACATAACATCAAGTGATAGTAATATGCTATACAGACTATGTCATGCACCGCGACCGGAAATGGCTATGCAAAACGAAAGTTTGTCTGCTTCTAGCACAGGAGTTATGATGATGTCAGGACTCCGAGCTCTTATTGGCTGATCGAAAAAAATAGTGGATAGACCTCGAATCGGTCTACCCGTTATTTCTTTCAATCAAAGCCAATCAGAGCTCAGTGTCGTTCTGACGTCCCCGCAACTCCTGCGCAAGGACCAGCCACTTGCTCTCTGCATATGCACGATGCGAAACTTTATGCTTCTTGCCAGGTTTACGGGGGAAGAGGGGGCGCTTGGGTAAACACACCCCAGGGAATCACGAGCGAGCTTTTAGCAACTTCAAAAACTCATTATGCAAAAAAAAAAAAAAAATTAATGCTGTATATAAAATGGATTGTCGAAAAGGGCTGCCCAATGTGTGGCGTACGTAGCTCTGTGGTAATGCGGTTGTTTCCCACGGAGTGGACCCAGGGTCAAATCCAAAAATAACAGCTGTACTTTTTTTAGACAACATATTTTCTTTTACAACTATAGCTGCAAAACTCAAATGCGTTGTCGACGAAACGTCGCAGGACGATAGGGAGCCAAATATTAACTAAGAGTAAAGCTATACGCACTACGTCGTGCATCTCGACTGGAAATGTATATACGCACAACGCGGAGAGCTCGTGCAATTTCGGTCGCCCTTTTAGGACGGCGCGTGTATCACTGGGGAGCGCATTAACCAATCCCCCCGCCTGCGTTCACGCCGCTTTGACAGTCTGGGGCTGCTAGTCACAAACCTACTAACCCATTTGGCCCACTGTACACGCCGTCCAGCCGACAACTCAAGCCCACCGTCTCCCATTGCACCTCTGGAAATAGTCTCACACCATTTAGTTAGACAGTTGTCGCCCAAATTTCGCTGAACGAAATGGTATGGGACTTAGTTTCCGGAGGTGCAACGGGTACAGCGGGGCTTGGTTTGCCGGCTGGACGCCGCGAAGCGGCGTGTATGACAGGGCCAAATGGGTCAATAGTTTAGTAATTAGCAACCGCATACTGTCGCCGCGAAGCGGCGTGAACGCAGGCGAAGCGGCGTGAGGTGTGTTAACGAGCTCCTCAGTGAGACACGCGCCGTCCGACTCTCGGACGGCAATTGTAGGCGCGATTGGAGTGCCGTGAGACGGCACTGTGGACACAGCCTTTTTATTACCACTCCAAAAATAAGTAAAAAAAGGCATACAAAATTTCTGGTGAACGCTGAAACTTCAAAGCCTTGCCCGCAGGCATTTAACATGAAGCAACTTACCTCCGAGTTTGAGGATCTTTCCCTTGTAGAAGCCGCGCTGGGTGCCGTCCTCGGCCATCCAAAAGACCATCTTCGTCTTTTGATGATTAAAGTCTTCTACATGTTCCGGCGTAAACCGTTTAATTAGCGAAATAGGAACTATAGCTTTGTGCTTGTCCTCGTACCTCACGTACGCAAACATGCTCACGGTCGGCGAACAAAAAGTATATAATATAAAGAAATATATAAAAAAAAGAAAATAAGACACGTTAATAAACACAACTAAGAAATGAAATCCCCAAATATTATATCTAAAAACTAAAAGAACAATGCTTACTGAGCAAAAACAAGAAAGACCGTGACGCGCGGGAAGTTTCGGGACGAGGAAGCAATTAAGGGAAGACGCGTCGGGTTTAGTTAGCCATAGTCATAGCTGTAGCCAAAATTGGCCGTAGCTAATGTTGATTGTAGTCAGTTAAAAAATAACAACCTTCTTAAAGTAAGAGTAAGATTTCTTGTGGAATCTGAAGTTCCTTTAGTCAAAAACCCATCGTGGTTATATCTTTGCAGCGTGGATGTTTGTTATAAACAAATTGACTTCTGTTAATACTCATTTTCTAGTTTCGGTTTCGTGTTGTCGCAGTTTCTGGACCTGCCAGTCAGGCCGCCAGAGGAGTCACCCGTCGCGATCGTTGCTGAACCGCTTCTTGCGCCCTGCTGCTTGTTTGCGATCCTTGATTTTGACTCATCGCGGAACCTCTGTTCTTGATAGTTGATTCTGACTCATCGCGGAACCTCGTTTTGTTTTATCGTGCTTCCTGTTCTGGATTGGTGATTTTGACTCATCGCGGTACCTCGTTTTGTTTTCCCGTTCTCGACTCTCTCGTCGGAGCACCTTATTTTGTGCTCTTGTGCTTCGATCGTGTTCTCGTTCGTTGGATTTCCACTCATCACAGAACCTCGTTTCATTTTCTCGTGAATTTGACCTCGATTGTTTATTTGCACTCGTCGGGGAACCTCGTCTTATGCATCTTGTTCTCGGTGGTTTACTTTGACTCGTCGCGGAACCTTGTTTCGTTTTCGCGAGTTCTTTGTTGACTCTCGCTCCACCTCGGTTTGTGCTGTTGATTTTCTGGATTGTTAACTTTCATCTTTGCATCCCATTATCTATTTATCAATACAGGCTCGTCGCGCGCCCGGCTCGCCCGGCTCGCCCTCTTGACTTCGCGCGAAAATGAGTTTTTGTTTCGTATGAACTCCTTGCGCGAATCGTTCAGCGTCGTCGCTTCGTCTCCGTTCTTTCACGATGGAAGACGACGGCCGACCGAACCGAAGAAAGAGATATATCGAAAAAGGTACAGAATACATTGTGCCAAAGTCTACGCTGCACTACCAGAAGACAGCGCGGATGTCCACGTCTGCTCCAAGTCCAGCAACTTCACCGAACTTGTCGCCCGAGCTGACTCGCCGTTCGACCTCGAGCACCGACACACCCCAAGAGGGCACGCCAGCGTCCGACGGTGACCTGACCGCGTCCGATGAGGAACAGCAGTGGGGAGGAGGAGGTGAAGATGCACACTTGCTGTCAGACTTCGAAGGAAGCATGTCGGAAGACAACAATCCGTCGGAGGATGGCCCCTTCACGTCGGAAGATGACACCTTCGCGTCGGAAGATGACACCTTCGCGTGGGAAAGCAGCTGTCCACGTGACTTTGTGTCCGTCACCACGGACGATGAGCTGATGGAGCAGTGTTTTGCCCATTTCGGCACTTCGACCCTACCCCACTCGAGCACAACCACAGCATCTGCCGTCGCAATGCTTATGTCTCTTGTTCACGCCCACAATTTTACGTGGACTGCGTTGGATGACATCCTTAAAGTGGTAAACAAAATGTTTGGACAGGAGGAGGATGTTCTTCCAGGTACTAAATACCTGTTCCGAAAGTTGTGGGCTCGAAAAACTTCGGGTATGTCAAAGAAATTTTTCTACTGCGAGAGTAACAACTGCACTGGATTGCTTGAGCCTGACCAGTCGGGGAAGTTAACATGTGCCGTGTGCCAGGCCTCTGCTGATGGTGATGCAGTTCTCAAGGCTGGGAGCTACTTCACGATCCTGAATGTGCGGGAGCAGGTTAAACATGTCATATCCAAAACCAAGCAAGCTCTCAGCGAACACCTCACTCTCCTTGAGACACTCGCGGACAGTCCAGACGTGAAGGACATAACCAGCGGTTCTGCGTACCGGAGCCTCAAAGAGACCGGCGTGCTAAAGACGGGTGACCTGACGTTAACTGTCAACACCGATGGGAGCCCGGTGTTCAAGTCCTCCAACTCCTCAATCTGGCCAATCCAGTTTACAGTCAGTGAGCTTCCACCCGAGAAAAGGTTCACCAACACAACGCTCGCTGGATTATGGTGTGGGAAGAAGCATCCCAACATGCTGCAGTTCATGAGCAAGTTTGCCGATGTGTTGGTGGACGTGGAGCCAATTCAGTGGACGTGCGGAACAGTCAACCACACTTCAAAAGTGCACCTCCTCTGCTGCTGTGCAGATGCCCCTGCACGTGCAGCTGTGCAGAACCACGTACTGTACTCGGGGTATTTCGGATGCCCCTGGTGCCTGATCAGAGGAGAACACATTGGAGGTAAGCTGATAGCAAATCTGTCCCTACCTTTGTTATTCATTATATATTCAATGCAGCATGCTGACATTGAATTAAACATATTTTATTTTATAAGCCACTGCATTCATCGCTCAACGAACACTTGTTCAGGATCCAGATTTCGCACATTTTTGCAGCTATTTTTGCATTAACCTTGTGTTTCTGCAGTACACTATACTTCGTTTCACGTTATGTTGTACCGCAGCGAACGCTAGAAGCGCGAGCTTATAGCGTTGGCAGCCGCTCTTAACTCACGAGAGCTTGTGCCGCTGAGGTGTGCCCCAGAGCAAGGAGCTCGCGCTTGCAGCCTTTTCTGCGGTACATCATAAGGTGAAGCAGAGTATAGTATGCATTTCACTTGGAGCATGAGGTATGGCTTTTCTCTTGAAAAATGATGTTAGCCGACAAACAAAATCAGTAATTAAATTTTTTTGTTGCAGGCTGCATACGCTACATTCAGGAGGACCCGGAGCCAGCTGGGAGGACAGCAGAGTCGGTGGCAAGGGACGCCAAGCTTGCCGAGAGGTTCCGCGAACCCGTGGAAGGCGTTAAAGGGGTATCTGCTCTTGCCGCAGTCCCCAACTTCGACCCTGTCTGGGGATACCCAGTCGATTATATGCATTGTGTCTTGCTGGGGGTCACAAGGCAAATAACGGAGCTGCTTGTAGCGTCTTCAAACTCGGAGTGCCAGTTCTACATTGGTAAGCTTGACAGCTTAATTACGGTTCTTGGCTTGAGGCTCTACTGCTGTGTGTACACTGTATACTATCTCTTATTCTGACAGGGCAGCTCAGTCATCTATGCATGGGCATGAGCACTTTTAACTTTGGCTCTGCTGCATGACCAGTCTTGCACAATTAACTGTAAATTATGTTATTTTTACTAGCTTGATCTTCTGCAAATGTATTGCTGGCCAGGGTGTCCAAATATTGCATCCATGCTAAGCTTTCTTAAATTGAAGGGGCCGAAGTGTTAGAAACTCAACAAAGTATACTTGACAAATAACGTTTCCATGTTGCAGCCTGGAGCATGAGGTAGGAATTAACTATCCATCTGTGGTTGCACTATGTGTGGGTTGCATGGCACAGGGACATCAGCCCACAAAGCCCTACTGCAGAGAATGTTCTGTTTCACAGAATGGCTACAGCATTTTTCCTGCACTGTGTATGCGTGGTCTCTCTTTCTGCTTCATTTTTTTTTTTTGTTTTTTGTTTATGTAGGAGGCTATGCTACTGCATAAACCTGGCAGTTGTATTCTCCTCGCTTTCTCTTGCCCTGTCACTCCTTCAGCACTCTTCTCTGAGGCAGCACATCTGTTGCCATACCTACCGTCTAAACTCTCCCCATGCCCCAATAGCTCTAGCCCAAGCAAGCTGACAGCCAGAGATGCTACTCATGAGAAATTATCAATTTTTGTGACTTGTTTTAGTGGCTGGCAGACAGTACACAATAAGTAAAATTCGGTTTGGATGCTTCAAGACGAGTTAGACAGGAACTGTTATTAATATTTATTGGACAAGCAAGAATGGTAAAAAGGGGAGCCTGAATGATTATAACGTTAATATAGGGCAGAATTTTTTTCGAAGCCTAAAAATTCTGACATTGTTAGTGTTTGACCTAACCATGCCACTGATAGAAAGTTTGTGAAGTTGCTATATTATATTTTGCACATCCAGGGAAACCAGCAGTGCTCGGTGTGGCGAACCAGCGGCTACTCAAGATCAAGCCTCCTCACTGCATCACCCGGCTCCCGAGATCCATCCTCGAGAGGGCTTTCTGGAAAGCTAGTGAGTGGAGGCTCTGGCTCCTTTTCTACTGCCTTCCCTGCACTCTTGGTGTGCTGCACCCCCGCTTCTGGAGGCACCTGGCTCGGCTTGCGGAGGCTGTTCACCTCCTGCTGCGCATGGAGATCAGCCCGTCTCAGATTAATCGTGCTGGTAAGCAAAGAGTTTGTCTGTCACACTACCTTGTGCAGTATGAATTACTGCAACCAATCATTCTGCTAACATTGTTCAAGAGGTGATGTTTTGCTCTAGGTGAGGAGCAGTGACTAGGCCTTCTCTTATCTTGGTGCTGGTAATTCAGGGCTGGTAATTTAAGCCTCGGTTTGGTCGGGCAGTTCGGGGTATTTTTTACATATTGTACTATCGGGGAAAAATGAAATGCAAACAGAGGAGCGCGTGGCTCGTGGTACAGGCTGCGCCACTTGGAAGTGAGCCTAGGGGCGAGGGTGCGTGGCCTGCTCTGATGTGTTCACGCCCTTCGCACTGCGCTCCCCAAGCTTCGGCAGCACGCTTCTCAGTGCGCTGAAAGCTATCACTGCTATCTTTGCTCGCTCGGCGCGTGCAGCGAGCTTCTTCGCACCGCACGCGCTGAGCCAGCAAAGATAGCGGTGATAGCTTTCAGCGCACTAAGAGGCGCACTGCTGAAGCTTGGAGAGCGCAGAGGGAGGGGCGTGAACACATCGGAGTAGGCCACCCACCTTCGTCCCTAGGCTCACTTCCAGGTGGCGCAGCCTGTACCGCGAGCCACGCGCTCCTCTGTTCACATTTCATTTTTCCCCGATAGTACATATTTTTCTTTTGAGTATTATGTTAGACCTAACCATTAGCTTTCTCTTTTTTAGCTTAATTATTTCTGTAATTTGCCTCAAGTTATAGTAAACTTTGGAAAATTAAATCATCCTTTCCAGGTTAATTTGAATATACACAGGCTTACGAATTGTTTGTTTCCTACATGTGCAGCATTTTGTGCATCACAGACTGGGTCTGATAGCACATATTTGTGGCATAGCTTTTCATCTTGCTTAGAAAAGCATTCAGACTTTGTGCCTCTTTGTTTAACCATCAAAGTTAAACCAGTCAAAGATCCTGTGCGATTGCAGATGCCACTGGTGCAGCACCTGCTGCAACACGTCAAGCTTGCCTCCAGCAGCGTAGTTGGCTTTTTCCGCATGAAGAATGACAGCCCTCATAGTCTTAAAGAAGCGCTGCAAACTTAAACTGCTCAGACCACGTGTCAATACAGAGAGGTGTGGCTGGCACCTTTAACACGGTCGTGTGGTCCCAACGAGGCACTGCAGACACTCCAGACGCTCAAACTCTAACATGGGTTGTGTGCAGGCAGGTAGCCAGGGGGGTGGAACCATAGAGCCCGGCCCCCCCCCCCCCCCGAAATCTTCCATTTTGCTGGGGCCTCCTCTCTCCCCTCCCCGTTATGCAGCATTTCGTCATGGGCGGGCCCCTTGAATCAAAATTCTGGCCACGTGCCTGGTTGTGTAACTACATAGTAGTGTGACCGTGCGAACAGAGGGCATTCCAACTTCCAGTAGGTGGTTTGGTGTGGCCTTAACATCAACTGCTGCCACTCCCGTGACTCGGTACGCTGTCACGCGGCTGCTTGGCTGCAGTGTACTGCTGTACCGCGCGCCCTTCACTGCCATATGTTCATTCCGTGCATTCCATGCCAATGTGTTGTTTCGGTATACCTGCATGTGCAGTTCAAAAATGAAAGAGCTTGTAAAACAAACAGGCAAATGCCGCAACCCTACTGGTACAGCCGACAGAACCTGTAGCAAAGCTAGGTATTCCGAAATTGCGACTGTTTTGTCTTTGTCAGCGGTAAGATGCTTATTAGTTCTGAATATAACTTGACCCCTCGCAATTCAGATTTCGAAGAAACTAAAAATGGTTCCACCAATAATCATGTAATAATGGCATACATATAAATTGTTACTACATCGTACACCACCTTTTTCTATGTTCTTTGCAGAAACACTGCTCAAGAAGTTCGTGGCGCAGGTTCCCGTCCTCTACGGTCAGGCAGCCATGACCTTCAACGTCCATCAGCTGCTGCACCTGGCGAACACGGCCCGACGCATGGGGCCGCTCTGGGCCAACTCGGCCTTTACGTTCGAGTCTGGCAACGGCCAGCTTTTGCGGCATGTGACGGCAGCCAAGGGCGTCCCTGGGCAAGTGATTGAGCGTGCGATGATGGCCCAAGAGTTGGACCTTGTCCTGAGCCATCAGCTTCTGCCCCAAGACACTAAGGTCTTCTGTAAAAAGATGTTGGGCTATGCCCACATCAAGGAGGCGTCTTACACGCCTGGGGCCTGCCTTTTGGGCAGTGCCAAGCCGGGACTTGACTTCTCACAGGATGAAGTCACTGCCCTGCAGGAAACTCTCAGTTTCTGCCCATCACCAGTGATGGAGCATGAACGCCTGATCCTGGCAGGGCAGCTGTGCCATAGCATGAAGTACACGCGAGCAAAGAGGAGGAATTCCTCTATCATCCAATGCAAGGATGGTCGGTTTGGTGGAATTTGGCGAGTACTTTACCTACGAGATGAGGATGAGTGTGTGATCCTGTGCAAGGAGCTTGTGCGCAAGGAATCCAGCTTGCATTTTCCAGGACACATTGTTGAGATGGTGATGATGCCAGAAGACATATTTATGGCTGTGAAGCCAGACGACGTGGCCCAGGTGTGCCTTGAAGTTAACTTTGTGCAGGATGGAGCTCTATATGTCTGCTTGCTTCCCAACAGCATTGAGCGTGACTAAATGAAGTCTGCCACCAACCACCATTGGCGCCCGTCTGTTCAGGCTTGTGCCCCGTGGCGCCACCACCTCTCATCGGCATGTGAGACGCTCTTTAGTTCCGCAGGCCCGCGTGGGCTCTGCTCTTCTTTTATTTTTACGGGTTCCCGATTTTTGGTGAAGAGCGATTTACAACAAAAGGGAGAGCACATCAGGTGCATGCAAGTGTCTGAAAACAAGTAAAGTAATCCCTTGTTATGGAGATCGCTTTTATCAAAGTTCAACATGGTCCCGACCAAGATGCACACATTTTTTACCAGATTATTTGAAGCGTATCGGCGGCCGACCATGCTTGTTACGAAGGCCGCGGTGCCAAAAGCATGCAAACCTACACGGGGGCACATGGAAACCCTTGCGTTCCCTCGCTCTCCACCGAGGCAAAGAAGAGACTGGGAAAATGGCAAACAAGAAAACAAAGTAAGCGGGTGATGGAGGGCAGACTGTGTAGAGCGCCACTTCCGATGTCGATGCGGGGACGCTGCCAGACTCCTCTCGGAATTGGGTCAAGGGATCGATGAACCCGGAAAAGATAATCCCTTCGGGAGCCTTGATGCGCGCGCACCTGCAACATACTACATGCACACATGCGTCGTATGGGAGATTTGGAGTGTTTACCAAAAGTCACTTAGATCTGAGAGGTTGAGAAAAGTGGCCAATTCAAGTCCGAAATCGCCAAAAAATTCTACATTCCGGCATCGGCTGTTCGACACTGTCCACCATTTTGCAGAACGAACAAGGTATTGGACGGATTCGAGTCGTTCCTTATGCAAGAGAAAGCGCGCGCCCACTACCCAAAGATGAAACATTGCCAACTGCCTTGCGCATAATGGATTTTCTCTCATGAGCATGCTTGCCAAGCCGGCGCACGATTGCCACAGCTGCAATGATCTCTACAGGAGTGTGTAAGAACATGTTGGCAAAGCCACCGAGGATAACTTAGATTCGTTTGCGTTTGTCAATGCGAACATCCCGTTGTTGGTCCTGCCACGGATGCCACGATCGTAGACCTTGCGTGCGGCTAGGGTAAACACGAAGCGATGTCTGAGGGGCACCTCGGGAGATGCTGATGACTGCGGAGGCGCGAAACATCCTGTTGCTGCTTCGAAACAAAGTGGAGCGCAGCAGCGGTGACTGTGTTTGTGCAATGCCTAGAGCAGTTCAAGGAGAACTGATGCCTAGACGAAATTATCTGCACACTCCACTTAATTTTTTTTTACTCGGCAAAGCTGCCGCGAGATCTTCATACCTAAGGTTTTTTTTATTAAATATATGGTCTTTTGTATTTTAATATACAGCCTGTTGTATTTTAATACCGGAACTTAAAGACAGCTGGACGAAGGACCAGCTGTTTCATCTTCGTCTTCCATTCACTCCTCGTCTTCCTTTTCCACCCCCTGCGAGTACTTCTTTCCGCCAGATACCAGACACAACATAATCCCCCCTTTAAGAAAAGTTCCTTTAGGGGACTGTCTGTCTGGTGGATTCCTGCTCCTCTTGGCCCTTTGTAGAATTAGGGGAACTAGTTGTGCGTCAGCACCATCTTCCCCGAGCCCTCTGTTGTCCTCATGTGACTGTGATCCGACTGGAACATATATGCTCGCGATAACCGCGACGAATTCCAGCATCCTCCTCCTGATGTAACAAGCGTCTTTTGGCCGACCGCTTTCTGAATTCGTTCAGGTTGTCCGAACGCTGGTGTTCCCTTCGCTTGGTGTTTGGGAAGTTTTAAATTGCACATAATCTCCCACGCTTTAAATGGTCTTGCTCTGCATCTCTCGTCTGTGTACTGCTTGCTTCGTCGCTGGTAATCGACGATGTTTTGACGGAGCTGCTGCACCTCGATATGAACTGGTTTCTCGAAATTTGGAAATCCGACGATGTCCATTTTCTTCCGCATTCTACGTCCATGAAGTAGTTCGGCCGGGGAGAGTTTCGTCGCCGCATGTGGTGTACTACGGTAGATGCCCAAGAACTCAGTCAGGCTAGTATGAATGTTATTTTGTTTTTGTATGGTAGTCTATAGCTGGACGTACCCTTTTAGAACTCTATTGAATCTCTCCATCTGCCCGTTTGCCTGTGGGTGGTAGATGGCAGACCGACGGTGAGAAATTCCTCTTGTGTCCAGGAACTCTCGGAATGTGCTAGACAGAAACTGCGGACCATGATCCGAAACATTCACGTCCGGGTATCCTTTTCGGCTAAAAATCGTAGTTAGAAAGTTGCAAACAACTTCAGCCGTTACTTGTGTAACGGCTGAAGTTGTCTGCCAAAGTAACCGCAAATCCAAATTCTAGAGGAAGTCGGTAAAACAGTCCAGCTGTGTCAATTCCTAGCTGTTTCCATGCGCCTGATGGAAGCGCCACTGGTTGAAGAGGTGATACTGTTGTAACTGCTGTCTTGTCGTTTGCCTGACATGTGTTACAGTCTTTGATGCAAGATTCTACTTCAATCTCCATCCTGGGCCACCAGAAGCGCTGACGTAGACGCTGCTTCGTTCTCACACTACCCGGATGTGACTCGTGGGCTAAGTTAATGAGTCTCCATCGGATTGAAGTAGGTGGTACCAGCATTTCTCTCTGTAGTAGCATGCCGTCCACCCAGGAGAGCTCTTCTCGTAGTTTGTAGTGCAGGGACAGTGCTGTGTCTCATTGCTGTTCGAGACCATCCCGTTCCGATACATTGTATCACTCGAGGCAAATCAGGGTCTTGTTTCGTTTCATTTTTGACCTCTTGTGTGTCTATCGAGTATAGGTTGTGTACCAGGCATGCGAATTCTTCATCTTTGCATGTCTCGGAGTGGTCGGAGCCATTCCGAGTGTCTGCCCTTGTCAGCACTGTCGCCATGTTGGGCATTTTCTTCACTTCAGTAGGTATTGTCACGTTAGGCAATGTGGCTGCTACTGGAACCGGCTTGCCTCCAAAAGCTGGTAGAAGAACAGGTGACACGTTATCCTTTCTGTCTGGTGTAGCTCCTCTCGCGGCGGTGGCTGCCGGCTAGTCATGGTGCACACCAGATGTGGTATTAGATGACCTGCACAGAGTAGGACACTGGTTTGTTTCTTTTCAAAACAGCTGACCGCAACTACTTGGATCCTTGTCTGAAGTTGTCATTATCAAAGAATGGGATGTCGACTTTTCTACTTGACAAGAGGCTTGTTGAAGCTGGTGTGTCCCGAACTTGTTTCCAGCAACGCCTTTATGGTATTCATGTGCATTCTGAGGGATCTCACCATCAGCAAGAAGGTAGAAGCAGAGGCTGCACGAAGCATTCTGCAAGGCCATGGCTGCTAGAGGAATGGGACAAAGTCTGAACTTGACAAATGTGCCTTGGAAATAGAACTTTTCTAATGTAAATTGGTAGCCATTGCTGCTAAAGATGGTTTGAGGTCCATCTCTGCTGAGGATCTCATGTAGCCGAGCAATCATATTTGCAGCTGCTGCTGGTTTCATAGCGCAGACTTCCCACTACTTAAAGTGTGCATCGACTGCGACCGGAAATAAAGGTGACTGAAAGAGCCCTTAATGTACAGGTCGACTATGCCATGGTTCAGATTGCCATGTGCAAGGGGGCTTGTGAAGGTAAAGCAGGTTTTTGCTGACATGCATGACATATCTTCACCTGGCTTTCAAGGTCTTTGTCAACTGATGGCCAGCAGGTGTAACTCAAGCTTGCTTTTCTTTTGAACAATGCCTGGGTGCCCGTCATGTAGCTCTGGTTGACCAGTGGATGCAGTTTTGGTGGCACCCCCACATGCATGCCATATATCAGGCATCCTTGATGCACTGTCAGTTCGTCTGTGGAAGAATGGATTGAGGTTGCCCCCAATAATGTAGGACGGCCAGCCCTTTCTTGTAAAATCGAGCACCACGCTCAAAGTAGGACACGGCCTGTGTGTCTTGCGATATTGTGGACCATCGCAGGTGTACACCTTTCCAAGAAACACTCGACCCCAGGGGCAACAAACCATTTTCGATCCCAGTCTTTGGGTTTGAGGCTAGACTCACCGGCATCCCTGCTAACCCTAACCGAGTAGACTGATTTCGATAGGCGCAGCCCAGTTTCAAGCACTGCTGGCAGCTATAGTCTCGTCTGTTCCCGCTGTATTTTGTGTTTCATGGACGCCATACGATGTGACAACCTTGCTAGGATAAGTCCGCAGGCAAAGCTCTGTTGGCTGCATTGAAGACCATGCAAACAACAGGCGCTTTTTTTTTGTTGTGCGATCACTGAGATTGCACAACACACCTATGTCAAGTTTTATGCATAGAGGCAAATAGAGAACTATATAGCTCCTACGGAGCAGAGTAGCACAATCATTTGATCAACGTGTTCTGCCGACAACATGGCCGAAATAGCAGCTCGGCGGCGCGAGTCACGTGGTACTCAGGGTTCCAGGAGGCGGCTTGTGCCCTATGGGAGAATACATGGAGATCGACGCAACACGGCTGATTAAAAAATAAACGCCGAGTTAACACTTTTCGAAACTAGTCTGTCGTGAAGTTGGTAAAGCACCAAACACTTTATCAAAGTTTTCACAAGATTGAATGCGTGTGAAAATTTTGAGAAGGCAATTTCCAAGGCAACAGCGTTTGAAGCAGACGATTTTTGTACGCAGTGGAGATGGACTTTTGGGTTGGCCGGAGCGGGTCGCGTGAACGCTGTGATGTCGCCGCGTCGTCTGCTGCATGATGCCGCTCAGGCAATTTTTTAAAAACTATGACGTCCTTACGTGGCACACGACATAGCGCAAATTATTAAACAATTTTCTCACGTTCTCCATGCATTTCTGACCGGAGTTGGAACCTCCGGGCATTCGCCGCTAGTCGCCGAGAGATGGCGTTCTAGATTGCGCTACTCTGCTTTGAAGGAGTTATATAGTGCTCTAGAGGCAAACTGTCCACAACAATGTCGATTATAATAGGTGGTCGCATCGTCGGACCCACACTCTGTAAACCTCCGCCAG